GGTAGGGCGCACATTCGTCGCGTCATAGTGCATACTGTACACGCAAAACAATAGCTAACAGGACGACAATAGTCTAGACTAATAAAACATCCTAAGACATCCTAAAAAGAACTGTGGGTAAAATAATAAAAATGCATAAATTTTTGAGTTTTAGGCTTAATTTTTGAATTTTAGGTTTATTGAGGACACGTTTTAAAAATTTTAGGCTAGTTAAGATAAAGCGTTATAAAGCGGTCCGTTTCACAAAAAGAACTTAATAAAATCACACCGTTTTTTACAGCAACTAAGGCTTTAAAAGCTTACTGTACTTAAAAAAATAGAAAAAGCCTTAGAGAGTACTGTACTTTTCAAAACTTTCGCAAGCTTACTGTAACTTCAATATTCAAAGCCATTTTGCCAATTTAAGAGAGAAAAAAGATCAGAAAATGATACTTAATGTGTAGAATGTAGAGTAAACACTCATGAATTATCTTTTGAATAGAATGTGAGTAATACCTAGTGTTTTATTTCATCATTTTTTCATCTTTCTTATGACTCTACTTGTGTAATAGTAGTACATATAGGATGGCTTAAACGTTCAAAGATTTGTCGCACTATTTTTGAATTAAAAATAAACTTTTGAAAAAAATAAAAACAAGGTGAAAGTATTAAGAGTTATAGGCAAAAATACAGTAAATAAAATTAATCTACTTTAAAGCATTTTTAGGAGGTTTTATTAAGCTAAACAGAGATTACAGACCCTTATTTGGGTCTCATATCATTGTCAGGTCGCTCAATTAGTCCTGTGCCCTTTATCTCCAAACATCTGCATTAAGAGAGGGCACCGAATTATTTGAATAAACAAATATTAAATAAAAAACCATTTTTAGATACTATTATTACCATTCAAGTACTGTACCAGTAGTAACTTATACCTACTATACTAGTACTACTTTGTACGTACTATACTAGTAGTACCTAAAATTTGATTTGAAGATTTGGCCTTTTGCCACGGCTTTTTCTTTGCTCTCTCATCCTTCTAAATACTCTCTAACCTTTTATCATCTTAAATTCATCCACTATTTCACATCCCCCACCCCTGACTTCTCCTCCTCTCCTCCTCCATTTCTTCCAATTATCCTTCCCCCCCCCCCTCCTCTCTCCTCCATTTCCTCCAGTTCATACCTCCCCTCCCCTTACAGTATCACTCAACCCTACCACCCATAACCCATGACCCTTTACTCCACCCCCCCCTTCAAAAAATAGCATCAGATGGATTATCAGACGCGATCGAGAACCGAGAGAACGCTGCGACGACGTGCCCGCGACACCGCCGCTTCTGCTGTTCCGTAAGTGACGAAAACTCAACAGAAAAAAGAGAAAAAACTTTCAAAGATTTCGAAAACAAGCGAAGGGAACGAGGCTCCGATGAAGTCGGACCACGTGAAACAGAGCCTTTGAATAGATGACACAACGTCAAAGGAACAGCAACAGTCATGAGGATGTGAGAGTTGGTGGTGTGGTGAATTTTATAGGTTCAGAAAATCTATTTTTAGTTTTATAAGTTTCAAAAAATTTTAAATTTTAAAAAATTTGAAAATTCGAAAAATATCCAAAGGGTCCCCCCTCCGTGGAACGTTTTTTACATTTTTTAATAAAAACATTTAAAATTAAAAAATAAAATAACAAAAAGTTAAAAAATTAAATTATTAAACGAATAATTTATAATAAAAAATTAAAAAAAAAACAAAAAAAATTTTATCCACCCCAAAAAAATTTACCCCGCCCAAATTTTCCTTTTGTAATTTTTTTAAAATCTACCTTATTTATTACTTTTTATGGACATTTTGCACTGTAAACTTTTGTTTTTTGCCCTATTACTCATAAAAGTTACTGTAACACATAAAACCCTTTTCTCTTATATTAGGTAGTTCAATTAATTCTGTGTTCCCTAACTCCAACAATTTGCTTTGAAAGGGGACGCAGGATTATTTGGAGAACCTAATATCACTAGTGATAGTGGAAACAATACTAAAAACTTTGCTGTTATTACTATATAAACCCTTTTCTCTTACATCACTACCCAAAACCCAATCTTTATGTTGTACACCCCCATAAAATGTAATTAAATTCCACAAGATTTGAGACAATTCTGCCGTTTACAATATTTTAACCCTAAAACTCAAAAAAAACTGGTTACTCGTTTTAACACTGCAAAAAACGAAAATAGTCGTGATTGGGTGAAAAGGTCGAGAATCGAAAGGAATGATGAAATTTGGTCTGATAGGGAACAGAAAGTAATGGGAATGAGTCAAATCGAGAATACACGTAGACTTTTAAAGAGCAAATACTTTTACATTCCATGGGTTTCGAAATGGCCTTTTAGGGTCAGCCGGCTTAAAAGTTTAGATGAGTTTAGGTTACTGTACGATTTTTTCAAAATTTTTTTTAAGTTTAAGAACGTCTTTGTCAGAGGATACTAGAAGCCCATATTTCGAATTTTTAGCTTAAAAAAATAGTTTTTTGAAACGACCTTTTAGGGTCAGCCGGCTGTAAGTTTTTTGATGAGTTTACATTACTGTGACATTTTTTCAATTTTTTTTTAATTTTAAAAAATCTTGATCAGAATGACCTTAAAAACCCACATTTCATATTTTAACCCCCCCCCTCCCTCGCCCAAAAAAAATTTTCTCAAAAAGATTGAGCTTGGTCCCCCGTGTTAAACTTTTTTTTCCTAGCTTATTTTAAAAAATAGACCGTAATGCTATTATTCTTTGAAGAATTTCTAGAAACTGTGCAGGACAACAAAGGAAAAGTAAAGAATCAAACTGTAGAAAACACATTTGTCACAAGACTTTTTGAAAAAGTGAAAAGACCAAAGAAACTTCCTTACAATAGAAGTCAGGATGGTTGATTGGTCAATAATTTTTGGAAAGAAAAAAAAGAAAATGAAGATTTTTTGGAATGTAATTGATACAACTTTTAATACAATAAAACTCTACCCTATCCTACACTATCTCGCCCTGTAAAAAGGATATAAAGCTTTATGTGATAGCCTATATTATTTGATTAAAAAGTTTAAAATTGAATTTCAAGCCTATCGATTAAGCTATTCGATTGTTCAATTTATTCTGGGCTTCCTCTGAAAGCAAATTCGTGATGTTAAGGGGCGCAGAATTATTTAAACAACCTAAAGTAAAACTCTTGACAAAGAAAGTACTATATATAAACCATATAAAATAATATTCCTTTACTGTTTCCCTATAATGAAGAAGTATTTACCCACATGACTATAATGAAAGCGTATTTCACTTATGTTATTTTTCTAATTACTGGGTACAATTTACCAAAATTTTAAAATTTTTTTTATTTTTTTTGAAAAATATCAACAGGGGGACCCTGTTCAACTTTTTTTCCAAAAAAAATATTTTTTTTTTCATTTTTTTTGAAATTTTAACTACAATATTTACTAGCTATAACCTCATCTTCCAAATTCGTCACAAAACTTTCGTTCCTCCCAAAAACACGGAATACGAAGAGCTTTCGAAACCGCAAAATTACATGAAAAACGAGCATTCTCAACCTCGCTTTTCCCTTTCCTCCTTCATTATTTCCTCGCCCCAAAAAAACGGACAAAATTTCGAAACCAACTCAATCGAGACTTGGCCCAAAGGTCTGTTTCGTAAGTCTTTAGGGGGGGGCTGCTTACTGTAGCTGATATTGCTCCTTATTTATTCGAAAAGAGCGTTACGAAACAACAACATCTGTAAACAACAATACCTTGGAGTGGGTTGGGAATACTTGGTATAGTCATACAGTGTTACTGTATACTTTGGGGTTTTAAATTTACCCTATCCTACCTTAACCTAACTTACCCTACACTAACTTACCCTACCCTAACTTACCCTACCCTACCCCCTCTTTCATCTATCCTCATCTATCATCACCTATCTCACCTACTTTTACTTTACCCCATCCTACTCTACTCTACCCTTCTCTTCTGTCATCTACCCTACCTTACCCTAATCTATCGTAATTTACCCTAGTATAACCATACAACGTCTAAAATCTTTCAGATTATTTAAAAAACTTAACTAAACCCCTAACGCGTTATAACAGACTATTGATGTTATTCATCCTCTACCATCCCATAAAATCCATTCCAACGTCTGGAAAGTTTTGGCGTGTCCAAGAAAGAAGTTGGAACGTAAAAACAAAACTTGTCGTTCAAAAATAAAACCAAAAAACAAAAATATTGCTGTAGAACATAGAACAGTATCGTAACTTACTATAAATAGTCTGTTGAAATATTTTGTGTTCTTAAATTTTGAAATATTAATTCAAACTTCAAAACAAGAAAACGTGTTTGATGAAGAAACTTATTAGGTACTTAAATTGTTATTTCTCAAAGTCGTAGTACTGTAAAATACGGGAGATAAACATAGTACTTTGAGTCATATGAAAATAGTTACAAGGCAACACATAAATGTTTAGCCGTACTTTATCTTTATTCTAGTAAATATTAATAGAACAGTAAAGAATATTATAGGTAAAACCTTTCTTGTAGAGTACCCTTACGATATGAGGTTGAAGGCTAAAACTACAAACAATGCTAGGCTTGAAACTAGCGCTAATTCAAAAATGGCATCAAAAAGCTGAGGCAAACCTTAAGGCTAAAACTAAAGCTTAAGGTAAAGCTAAGGCCAAGGTTGAGCCTAACTTCACGCACGGTTCAAGGTCAAGTTTATGCTCAACCGGATAAGGTTAGAACTAGGTTTAGAGTTAGATTGAAACCAATTTAAAACTAGAAGGACGACAAACATAAAAAGTTTTTCCTTAAGCTTACCTTAAAAATGAACCGTTAAGAGCATTCCTTCTATGATTATTACTGTAAAATATCTTGTTTACATATTTTGATAGCTTAAAACATAATTTTTGACTTTTATCATTAAAAAAACATGCAACGAGCGTATTTTACATAATTTAATAACTACGACGGCTTAAAGCAACTATATATTCAGCTATAGGTTGTCACAAGACCCGTCTTCCCATCCATCGTACCATCGTTGCATTACCTTCGTACAATCGAACTCATCTTTCCCCAACTTTTTATTGACTCGATTGTGCATCTCACACATCCATTTTGATAGAGTATCTCTGTTCTCCAGTTGAGGAGGATTCTTTTTTAAATCTTTCCTCAAATCTTCCGCACATGGTGGACATGGGTAGGTCTGGAAATGTAGGTTAGAAAAGAGAATTATTTAAATATAATATGATTCCTAATATATAGTAGACACGACTTATAAGTTATAACAAGGTTCTTCTAGCAAACCCTCACCCTTGACAATGCTTCCAAAGTCTCCTGAACGTCCTTCTTTTCCTGAGCAGTAGGATTATCAGGATAATAGACTGACATTGTGTGTAATAAGTTCCATGTTGATCTACCGAGCTGATCTTTGTCTACAGGACAATCACTCCTTCGTGTTTCAACTTCCTTCTTCGTCGGTGTTGTATTCTTAACATCAACGCCTTTCTTTTTCGCTGCTTCCCTCGACATCCTCATCATGTCTTCCACACTTACACATGCTTTGCATGGTCGGCCGTCTTGGTGGTATTCCATTGCTATAAAAGTTAAGAAGTCAAAGATACTATTGCAATACAAAAAAACTCTTAACTGCCTACTAAAAAACTAATAGAGGAAAAATATCTTGGAGCATGATGCAATATTCAACTCTTACTTAACATCGCCCTTTCAAAAATAAAATTCAAGTTTTCCCGACCAAATATTTTTATGCTTACCCCACTTCTACCACACCATCAGTGATTGTAGATTGATATCACAAGCCCATAATTTATAATCCAACAAAAAACTTTAATAAAAACGAAAAATCAACAAATTATTCAGAAGGGATAACACGGATGATGTCTGAGTCTCCGGCGTCGGTGATTGAGAGCATGGAGACACGGAAGAGTTTACCGCAAGCGGTTCCCAATTCGATGTTGTTACCGTGGTATTCGTGAACTCCAGTCTTGGACAACATAGCGTAGTACTCGATCTCGGAACGTCTGAAATAATGTTTTAGTTAGTAAAAGAACATTTTTACAAAGATAAAAAGTAATATTACCCAAACCAGTGTTTAAAACTTCTTCACTAGTAAACTAAAACGATAAATAATGTTTTACGCACTTACAATCAATCCAAAAACCTAAATTTATACCTATAAAACTTGAAATGCAAATAAAACGATATTTTATACCTAAAACTTCACAGAAAGACCTGTACTATAATTTTAGCTTTCCAACAACAATCTTCAGTAAAAACGCTTCCTTTCTTACCTAGACCAACAAAAATATAACAAAATAAACTAACCTGATAGCTGGAGTGTTGCTGCTAATGATGACAAGCTTGGCCTTTCCTGAGCGGAGGGTTCTCAAGGTCTGCTTGTATCCGAGACAGTACTTTCCGGACTTGGTGACCATAGCCAAGCGGGAGTTGATGTTTTCAACAGTCTTTTTCTAAAAACCCAAATTAATCTCCATTTACCGTGTGTTGAGCGAATCGGCATCCTTGGCAAATTATCCAACAGAGACTCTTCTCAGCAGAAACAAGCTCCGGAAGAAACCTGCCATCTCAGCCAGATCCGCTCAGAGTCTCACTCACCGTTCCACCGACAGCCATTTTTGTTGGTTTTTGCTCGTGAGAGAAGGTGAACAACCAAGGTCTGAAATAGCATAATAATAAGTAATGTAACCTAAAGATACAACGCAAAACCGCGAAAATATTGAATTTAGATATCAAATAGACAAAGAAAAACTATAAAATTAACAAAACTCCAAGTTAAAACCATAAAATAAATTAAAAAAACATATTCATAACAAAACACCCGTTAAAATTAACCAACACGCACTATAACAACATAAAAATTGTATATTCCCAAAATAAAATATATTCCACAAAAAACCCCATCCTACCGTACATTTCATGGCCTTCCGCCAACTTTTCGTTGCGGGACTCAGCGCAAGAATTTTTTTTTCTCGAAAAAGTCCGAAATTTCAAAAACGGGAGATTACAAAATGTTTTCCCGATGTTTTTACGAATCTAGTCGACGTGAATTTTGTGTCCTTCGTATATTATACAGTAGAAGTTTTTCGATTTAAGAAAACACGTCACTTCAGTCTTGATAACATAACAATATTGTGTTTGATGGGGTTTGGAAACGAGGTTTTTCCGGTTTTTTTTCGGGATTGGTACATTTATGTTGACATAGTATTATTACTTTGTTCTTTACATAATTTAAAGTATTTTTACTGAACCAATATAATGATGTATTCCTATTATATTCAGAAACACCAGCCGACTTTTAATTTCTCTCATAATAAGCTCCCATCTTGCGGCCAAAAATAATGTTTTTGTATGAATAATCGCTTTGTATTGTTTCCTGGGGCATAATGATGGTCGAATGAGGTATTCGCATGAATAATATCTTGATTTACGGGCGCAGTTTGCCACTTGCTACCAGGCAGTAGCTTGAACGGGGGTTTGTTGATGCGATCAGCAATGGTTCGAGCTGTTTCTACTCGAATTGCCTTTTATTTTTGTGAAGAGATTAGCCTATATTTTGAGGGTTGTTTTGAGAGAAGAACTAATTGAGGTTTTTGAGGAGTAGGTTAATACTATTTTGGCTGAAACAACGTTATTTTGATGTTGTTTTAGGTGAATATAGTTCTTTGGTACTCTTGAAGTTTTGTGCAATTTTTTAATACTGATTTTTTGAAAGTTATTATTGATTATGAAATATTCTGTGTATATTTTTTATCATCTTAGGTATAGTTTTATAATTTTTTGAAGAAGCAAAATTCAAAGATAATAGTGAATATCAGAAGATGACTCATTTTAAGTTTCCTGAATTTTTTCTTGAACCAACGAAAGTGCTCTTATTGTGTCTAGAAAAGACAAAAAAAGTTGCAACAAAAAGAAGATTGCACTTTTGTCGAAAAAATTCCGTTTTCTCGCTCTTTAGGCCCAGTGTCCGATAACTTGAGAACAGCCGGAGGGCGAGAGAAGGAGTTTCCTCATTACACTATGCTCTCGAATCGGCCACCCCCACCTCAACCTCTATCAGATCACCTTGCTCTCCGGAAATAATACATGTTTTGATAGGTTGGAATTTAGATGGGTTTTTATGTAAAATGGATACGATTACACGTTTTATATAAAAGATTTGGATCGTCTTGTTGCTGAGGCTTGGTTTTGTCTTTAAAACTTTTTATTTCAGGTAGTGCAAGGTATCTTTTAGAAGCTTAGAGTTTACTTTCATTAAAAAACCTAAAATAAACTTCTGCCTAGTTTAACAAGACTTCTAGTACAAGGTAACTTACATAGTTCAATGTTAGTCGTTATGTGGTCAAAAGGGTAGTGTAATGTTAGTTTAGCAGGTGTTTTATTGCTGATTTTGTTTGAAAAGCTGACGCGTGTTGATTTTTTGATATTGTAAATGAATTTGAAGGGTAATGATATGGTTTTGATTTAGTGAAGTTGAAATTTACACTTTAAACTTTAAAAAGTTTTTTGTTCTGAATCGCGATCTTTTTATCCTTAAAATATTTCATCCTATTTATTTACTTTATTTTATCATTTTTAGGCGTCACCTGGCTTTGGAACCTACCATAACATCCGTGGAATAATGCAAGTCGAAGTACAGCAAAAGAAGGGCGGCTTTGCCAAGGCCAAGGTCCTGAACATCGACGACAAAAAGATCAAGGTTCAGTTTGTTGATTCTGGAAATGTAGACAGTGTACCATTCACACAGTGCCGTGCCGTTATCACTGCTAACCCAAGAAAGGAAGAATACAAAACTGGAGATCTGATTGAAGCCTACATCAAGAGCGAACCTGAATCAGTGTGGCATAAAGTGGCTGTGAGGCAGATCAAGGTGAGGAATTTGTTTGTTTCTTGGATTTTAGGCCTATGAAGAGAAGGAATGGAATATCTTAGAGGTTTATAGTGGTAATAAATGCGCTAATTATTTTTTCTAACATAAAATTTGAATTATTTTCAGGGCGAGTTTGTTGTAGTCGAAGGAGTAGACGATAAGTCGATCAACGACGTTTGCTCACTGGAAAACGTTCGACCGGCTAACTCCTCTGTACAACTTTCTCCAGAGAAGCTTAAATCTGACACAATTGCCGTTGAGAATGAGGATCTACAAGAATACTTCAAGGACCCCAAGAATTGCCAGGAGTTTGCTGAAACTGTTAGCAATGTTCATGTTCAATATAACGAGAAGACGAAGGCTTTTGATGTCTACGTAAGTTTTTCAAATAAATTTATTTTGTTTCAAATTTGATTGATTTTGGTTAGAGTATTGTTTTGATTCTTTAAAAACTTTGGATTTAATTAAGCTTTTTGGATATTTAAGGGCTTTGTAATATAATCTTTTATAAAATTTATGCTTTTTCAGAGTTTCTCCCAAACCTTTTTGAAAAGAGCGACAGTTTTGTCTGGCATCTACCTATCGAACACGTTACAGAAGCTGGAGCTTATTAGACGACAAGAACACGCTGAAAAGATGCTCCAGAATTCGGACAACCGAGACGGTCTCTACCTCGAGAAGTTCACTGTCTCAAAGGAACTAATGGGCTTGGCTATTGGGTCTCACGGTGCCAATATTGTTAATGCTCGCAAAATTGAAGGTGTTAAGGAAATTGTGATCGACGAAAGCCAAGATGACAGTCCAGTCAATACCTTCTCAGTCTACGCCACGAATCCAGAAGCTGCGGAACAGGCACGAAACATCTTGGAGTTTGTTGTTGAGCCTGTTCATGTGCCTAAAGGATTTGTTGGCAAAGTAATTGGAAAGAACGGAAAGATCATACAAGATGTTGTCGACAAGTCTGGTGTTGTACGGGTACAAATTGGAGAGGAAAACGAAGATTTTGTAAGTACTTTCCTTGCCTTTGTTCAATTTTTAGGTATTACATGTATTTTGTGATAGATTTTTGATCTATCCTGAGTGAAATGTTAGTGTTTTAAAGGTTTAATTTGTGTTTCCTATGTGTCTAGTACAACATAAGTAATTTGTTTTCTATTTGACATTATAGTTATTGATGTTTGTTTATTAATTTGTTTATCCTGCTTCAACCGAATCTAAAAGTGATGTTTTCAGGACAACGATGTGGACTTTTACTTTACAGGCACAAAGGAAGCCATAGCTTTGGCCGACTTACTGATCCAATATCATATCAAACATCTGGTCGAAGTTGACGGTCTTCGTGCTAATGTAGAAGATATCAACCGAAAGCTTCATCACGGTGCTTCTCCACCAGTTTTCCAAAATGGAAGCGGTAGATTTAACGGAAATGGCAAATCGAGAAACAGTTTTAATGGTCCACCAAGGAGAAATGATAAAAATGGCAAAGGTTTTGGAGGTAACAGACCTAACGGTGAATCAGGTATGTTTGAATATTGTTTGTGAAATTGTTGGAGAGTTTTTTGCTTTATTGAAAAAATTTTAAGACTTTTGACAAAATAATTTGATGCTTTGATTTTGCTGTACTGACCTAACTGCTTTCTTTGTCTTTTAGGTCGCTTTCCTCCTCTGAAACCTATTAATGGGAGATTTCGTAAGTTTGCAGTGTTGTGATGTGATCATGTCTGCTTTGTTATTTCGATTTTGCTTATATGTTTACTATTTGAAATTTATCTTTTCTTGGATTCTTTGACTTAAAACTTTGATTATTAATTTTTTAAAATACTAAAAAAAGTCTTGCCGTCCTAATTTTATTTTTTACGTTGAAAAGCGATACAACTCTTCGACACTTCAATATTTTTTTGAATTTGTTATTGTTAACAACAATGATATACTAATTTGTAGGATAAAACGGAATTTAATACTTTACATTTGTTAATCTTGAAATTTCAGCCGACGCAGAAAGAGAACCAGTAAAACCACAAATCACGGAATCATCGGACGAAGAGAAAAAAGTCAACGGAAATGGAGTCCACAAAGAAAATGGCAACGGTGTTCCACAAGCGAACGGCAATGGAAAACGTGCCCCGAAACACAATCAACCCCGTCGTCGTGTCAAGGCCGACGAACATTAACATGTCCACGTTAACGTTCATGTACATGTTCATTCCAACGTTCATCTACATGGTCTTGGTGCTAACACAACATCACTGATATTTCGTACGCCTTCAAACTTGGTATCGCTCAAAACCACGCCTTTTTTATTTTTTCCTTATGTCAATTGTCGACGTATTGTGATATTTATATATGTCGACGGATAAAATGACTTTGCTAATATTTTTCCTTTGATTTTGTCCTATTTGGTCTTTGTTCTCTTGTAAGTTAACTTGGTCTACAGTACGGCGTTGTTACGTTGTTAAAGCGCCCACTACTTTATTATCGATGAGTGGAAAGCTTTTATTTTTCTAGCTTTTTCCGATTATTAATTACTGTTATTTTTCTTTAGAACATGCATAAATCGTACTAACTTCTAATTGCTCGGATTGGTTTTGAATTAGTTTAGTATACAAGCAATATATTGGTCAGGTTATTTGGATGGAATGATAAGATTTTCGGGCATTGAGCTAAAACGTGTCTTATCGAAGTTAAGATGGCATAATATGTACTGGTGGGGGTTCAATTGGCATGATTCGTGCTGTTGTTGTTCAAATAACGATGTTGTTGATCGTAAATTCGTTATTTCAAAAATACAGCTTTAAAATTTGTTAGAAAAGGTTTAATTTTAGTTTACGTGGTATATAAGTTCATGAAAATTAAAAAAGTTGATTGAAAAGTTATTATAACTTATTTTCTTAGTGGATAAGTTACAGAATGATGTTATTTGTCTGTTTTTTTGATAAGCTTTAAGTAGATTGATAAGCGTTAGATTTTACAGATTAATGCCGAAGAAGAGGCTCTACCCGGACTTGAGCGCTGAATTGAATGCATCTGGACTAGAGTAAGTCTTTTATGCCTTTGTGAATGATAAATAGCTATGGTAATTCATTTTTTCAATTAGAAAGAATAAAAAAGAGTATAATGTATGTTGCCTATCAGATTTCTCTTCAAAATTCAACTTAAAACTGATTTTAGTCACTCATCAAGTGAGCGAAGTGAAGATTCAGAAGGAAATGAGACATCAGTCAAGAAGAACAGGTCAGGATTGGTGAGAAGTTTTGAAAGTCTGAAAGGTAACAACACAACAGCTGGGAGTACGATCAACAGAAGCAGCAGTTTCAGTAGTTTGGGAGGTGATCTAACTCATCATGATGAATCATTCGAGGAATGGTGGGACGTGACTTGGAGGAATGTTTAGTAAGCTTCTTTTTACTGCTTTAGGTAATATGTTTTACTTTTTTGTGTAGTATGTTGTAGTATAGTGGGTGTTCTTGTACTTAAAAAATGATTTTAGTGCTCAAGTCGACAGTTTTTGCTCCAGACTACAACAACATATTTCTATACCTTATTGTAAGTACTTTAATGATTTTGGGTTACACTCGTCTTTTTTATTTTAAAATACGCGACCAGATGCATTTGTGCACTACAATATTGAACCTTTACTTTATTTCAGTATTTATCTCGTTCCTATGTTTAATATTCCTTCTATATCTCTTTAACACATCTTCATCGGTGCCAATCCTCAATGCCGAACTCTACAGTACCCTCGGAGATAACACAAAACAGATCTTGGACAAATACCCTCAGGCAGCACCATTCTACAAGATCGAGCTTCAAAGAGGCTTCAGACACATTGTAAGACGGCTGGCAGGAGTGGAACTAGAAGCTGAAGGAAGACCAGTCGTACTATTGCTAGCATCTACAAAACCTCATTATACCGAAAAATTGAGTCGAGAATTCGTGGAGCTGATTGAACGTTTCATTCCAAATACTACTGGTACAATAACTGCTGATTATGGTACCAAAAGGACGGATTTTGAAAAGAATGTGGCTGGGAAAGTGAAAAAGATAAAGAAGGGTAAGATTGGAGTGATGGAGATGAGTAACATCGAAAAGCTGGACGGTACAACACCATTGGTATTGCATTCATTGGCCGACAGTGACACACCAGCCTTCAGGAACATGGTGTATATCATGACAGTGAAGATCGAGCAGGATCCAGGCACGGTGAGCTCGGAATGTGTGGATGTTGTGACAAGGTAAGGAAAGGGAAAGGCTTTGAATAATAATAATTTTGAGTTTTATGGTCAAAAAGTTTGTAGAATGGGTTTTTATGTTTGGTTTTGCCGATTTTTGAGTATAATATAGAATTTTTTTGTTTTTTAAAAATTTTTGAGGTAAAATACGAAATTGCAATATTCAAGTGTATAGTAAAAACAAGGTTTTATATCTAACTAGCGTATGTAACGTCAATATCTATTTAATTTTTTTTTTTCAGAACCCTTTTAAAGTCTTGGACGTCGCCAAACCTAGGAGAAGATCAAGTATACCCAATCATATCACGTATCACAAACCTCGCCGTATGTTTGGTATTCCCATAATGTGTAGTACTTCTATGATGCATTTGAGTACAAATTGAAGATATAATAAGTACAGGTAGATAGATATTTGATTAGTTGTTGACAACTTGTTATTTTTCCATGTTACAGTAAAGTCTTGCCTAATATAAAGTGATTAAAATTGATTTTTAGTGATGTTAATGGGAAGATGATATGAAATATGAATGGAGAAGTGTTAGAAAAGGTATATAAGAAGAAACAGAGGGGTAATGTAGTCGTTTAAGGTAAGATATACCGCTTTTACAGGGTGTTCCGAGAAATTTGGTCGCTAGAAATAATTCATAACTTTGCAACTATGCATCCTAAAAATGCCAAATTTGGCACAGTTGTAGAACAGACTTGTACATTTTTTTGTGGAAAATTTTGTGTTTTAAAAGTGCAAATTGCGGTCATTGTGAATTTTTAAAAATCAGCATTTCACACCGAAATTACACATATTTTTGGTTGTAAATGAACAGTTTTCGTCGACTCTTGACATTTTTTGTTTTTTTTCGGAAAACCGCGTTTTCTGTGTCTGCGAAGACTCGGCGGACGTAGCCGAGTATCGGCGAAGGCTGTAACTTGGTTCAAATTTGTCGTACCGACATGAAACAAAAACTAATAACTTCCAAATTTAGAGGACTCTGTTTTCAAATCATAATTAAGTTTTAGAAAAACTTACTTTTGTTCTAAAAATGTTTAAGAATGAACTCAAACTTTATTAAATAATGTTCAGTCACATAGTAAAAAAAAGGCTATAATAATAAAATATTTATTAATAACTAATTATATTATCTAATTTCAACACTATTACCGTTACCATCAATACAACGACGTAATCGTGGTAGAAAACCATCGATTGCGTTGTTTATCATGCTTTGAGGAATATCACGCATGACACTACTAATGCGCTCTTTCAGCTCAGCAATCGTGTTTACTGGCGTTTTGTAAACGTTGGCCTTCATATAGCCCCAGAAAAAATAGTTCAAAGGGGCCAAATCTGGACTATATGGCGGCCAAACAACTGGAGGTCCATTTACAGTGCTCTTTCGGCCAATCCAGCGTCCAGGGAACGTTTCATTCAAAAGCTGGCGCACTGGTCCGTAGAAATGTGGCGGTGCGCCATCTTGTTGAAAGATCGTTCTGCCTATAATATTGTTTTTTAACATTATGCACAGTAAGATTAATAGTCAAACTAACCAAAAAGTCCGTGAGCTGTTAACTCAACGTAGGTTGTGTTCAAATATATGAACAGCTAACCATGTATACTTGAAATAGTTCTCACGGTATGCGACTTGTTGTTGGAGAAACTCCACCGAACCACGCTACCAAAATAAGCTTTGGACCGTTTTGCCCAGAAAATATTTATAAATTTATATCTACCTTGTATTATTACGTTTCTTTCTGTCCAAGCTGCCGGTTTGGTGGAATTTTAAGACCCAATTTTTAATAGTTGATTCACTCGGAATTTGAAGTGGAGGACTGCCAGTATGACGGAGTTGAGTGCGAAAAGTTCGTCTTGCTTTGGCCGCGGATTTGAACTTGATGGCGAGACTAACACATTGAGTTTGAACTTCTATATCCCATATCATGATAAACCAACAAATTATTCAAACAAGACAAAAAATGATTTGAATTATTTTATTTATACAATTTGTACATTTTTAATTAAACTATAATTTGAAAACAGAGTCCTCTAAATTTGGAAGTTATTAGTTTTTGTTTCATGTCGGTACGACAAATTTGAACCAAGTTACAGCCTTCGCCGATACTCGGCTACGTCCGCCGATCGTCCGCCGAGTCTTCGCAGACAAAGAAAACGCGGTTTTCCGAAAAAAAAACCCAAAAAAAAGAGTCGACGAAAACTGTTCATTTACAACCAAAAATATGTGTAATTTCGGTGTGAAATGCTGATTTTTAAAAATTCACAATGACCGCAATTTGCACTTTTAAAACACAAAATTTTCCACAAAAAAATGTACAAGTCTGTTCTACAACTGTGCCAAATTTGGCATTTTTAGGATGCATAGTTGCAAAGTTATGAATTATTTCTAGCGACCAAATTTCTCGGAACACCCTGTATAACCTTTTATATACATACTATATAAAGTAACACAATAGGTTAGTTAGCTATTTACAAGCCGGGTTTATTATTAATAGTATATTAAAACAAGAATGTACAAGTATATAACGATTCTAATGCCCATTGCACAGCCCCACCATCTGTAACATGTTCTCAATGGCATTGACTTTGGGCGCGGGTGGGGGAGGTTGAGTGGAGGCGGGCGGCCGAGGGTAAGGGCCGGGTTTTCTGAAATTTTTTTTGGTAAGATACGGTTTTTTTTATCTTTTGTTTCATATAGCATTTGATGGCAAATACTATCTTTTAAATATAATGAATTATAAAAAATTTGCATGTTTTGATAAAAAATTTTAAAATTGCATTAAAATGAAGTTTTTGGGTAAAATACGTAGAGCTTCACGTTTTTTTTTTTGAAATAATCCCTGAAGTATATAAAAATAAATATAAACCTACTGATCCATTTGCTGAACAAACGACCCAATTTGTAAACTATCCTCATCATTAGCAAACATGAATGTGGGTGGAGGTTTGGTGGTGTGATGAGGAACATGAAGCGCATGATTATCATGCTGTGGGAAGGCTACTTGAGCTAGTGTTAGACCGTCCTGAAATTTATGAGTAAAATTTAGTAATTCGAAGTATTTTTATTATTAGGTGATTCAAATAGTTCTGCCCCCCCCCCACCCCCCTTCAAAGCAAATTTTCGGTGTTAGGGGGCACAGAATTATTTGAACAATTTTATATTACAAATGGAGGCCCATTCGCACTATAACTGGGTAAATACTGCGCCCCCTGTAGTGAAAATGGTCCCGTCGCGTTGCTTACATAAAGAGAGTAATATACCTGTAGATTCTGTAGCAGATCAGAAACACCACGAAGAATTCCGCCTTCTGTATGCTTCTTCTTATCAAAATGTTCGTCATACATATCATAGTAGTCCAAGGCTTCTATAGCCGGATTGGCCGTTGTTGTAGTTGTGCTTTTTGTTGATATGGCACGATCGTTCAGCTGAAAATATTTTCTTTACAATAACTGTTTACAGTAAAAAAAATATTTTATATTTATTAAATATTGCTAAAAAACAAGGTTACTGTATCATTTTAGGTTTTTTTTCCAAACCTAATATCCAACTCACATAAGTAGGAACCGAAGTAGTACTACTGGTAGTAACTTTAGGCGTAGTAGGAAAGTCAAACAGAGTTGGTGGTAGTCCAATGGGTGGAAACGTAGGTAACAAGTTGGTGTTGCTTGGTAGTGGAATAGGGTTCGTAGCTTCGATTCTGGCTCCAAGCATTGGAGAGTTTTGTCCATTTTGAACTAAATTTTCAAACATTTTCTTTCGCTCTTCTTCGTCGCGCTTCATTTGGTCCATGAATAATGGGTTGTAGGCCTGAAAATCAAAACTTTTTTAAATTTTTAAAAAATCAATAATTTTTTTTCTTGTTTTCATGGCTGGGCATTACATAGCGGAAAATTTTAGCCTGAGGGTAGAACAGAAAATTTATTTTGTGGAATGAGTACAAATTCAAAATTTTTTTTCGAAACTCATTAACAAAGAAAGCACCCACCCAACCTGTCCTTCAGAATCAGCTCAATTATATATAATTTCTTTGTACCATCAATAGTACTCATAAAAAATTTAAACTTGCGATTTTCTGTTTATAAATTCAAATATTTGAGTTTTCTGTCAATTTGGCGAATTTGGCATTCTGTTTCAAGCACTTTTTTGACTTTCCAGACAAGCTACGCTTACAAATTTCAAAAAGTAGGTCAATTTAAAGCTTTTCTAATAGTATATATGTCAGAAAAAATGATTAAAAGTCAAAAAAATGACACAGAAACACAATGCCAACTTGGCGGGAAATTCAAAAAACGTAATTTTTTTGATCTCGATTTTCTCGAGATTTACTGGAAAGGGCAATTTAGTACTTTGCTGAAGATCTTATATCTACACAAATTTTCTATATAAAAAGGTGGAAGTTAATCAAAATGGGGCAGGTGGAGCACCTTCTTAGTAAGTTCAAATTGATAATCCTCCTTGCCAAAAACGTTGATCAAATTTAATTTTTTACAGACATTTTTTTAAATCTTCTATTATATTGGCTTCTTACTGTACGAAAATTCTCCAATTCGTATTTTACCTGGATATCAGCGGGGAAGCGGCCTCGTTGCCATTCCCATGGCACTTGCCTTCTGGCTCTGATCTCTCCAACATTCGATGGTTTTTTCAATTCAAAGTCAACTGGACATATTTGAAGCCACCAGCGACGATCACTGAAATGGGTGGTGTAATATGGTATAGATAAATACACTCTACCCTCACTTTTTTTTAAAATAAAAAAAAATTTAAACTCCACTTTAATTAAAAATGCCACTACTAACCCGCTTTCGCTCATCGCCTGCCATTTCCGGATGATTTGAGCCGACGAACTGAAGGATGAAGCTCGTCGATGGTCGTTGATGAACTTCGTGTCGATACAATCTCCAATTCGAAGCTTCACAGAATCGCTACGACAACATAAAAGCTGCCATGAGTCGATGCCTGTTCGTACGTCTTCTATTATCTCAACTCCTACTGTATATTGATCACTGCCACAACTCAAGTACATATCACCATTGGCTGTGGAGGCGGATTCTGTCGTTGTGCATTCTTCGTCAAAACTCTGGAAATTGTAAATTAAGAGGGGCAGGGCATGGCAAAAAGAGCTAGCATGGTATAGGGCATGTCACAGGGTAGGATAGGATAGGATAGGATAGGGTAGGGTAGGGTAGGGTAGGGTAGGGTAGGGTAGGGTAGGGTAGGGTAGGGTAGGGTAGGGTAGGGTAGGGTAGGGTAGGGTAGGGTAGGGTAAGATAGGGTAGGGTAGGGTAGGGTAAGGTTGGGTAGGGTAGGGTAGGGTAGAGTAGGGTAGGGTAGGGTAGGGTAGGGTAGGGTAGGGTAGGGTAGGGTAGGGTAGGGTAGGGTAGGGTAGGGTAGGGTAGGGGTAAGGTAGGGTAGGGTAGGGTAAAGTAGGGTAGGGTAGGGTAGGGTAGAGTAGGGTAGGGTAGGGTAGGGTAGGGTAGGGTAGGGTAGGGTAGGGTAGGGTAGGGTAGGGTAGGGTAGGGTAGGGTAGGGTAGGGTAGGGTAGAATAGAGTAGGGTAGGGTAGGGTAGGGTAGGGTAGGGTAGGGTAGATGACGTAAGCTAAGGCATGTCATTCTTACCATCATTTTGTTTGAAAATTTGGAACATCCGAACTTGTACAGTCGTTCTGATCCGTCGTGAGCCGAGTTGAACTTTGACATGTAAAAGCCATTCGGACATTGAAACGTGGTCATGCCAAACGACGTTACAGAGTTGATTATGGCACAAAAAAGTAAAATAAGCCTTGGGAATGGGGGTGGCCGCCCCCGTATCCTGAACATTGTTTGGAAATTACCTAAAATTTTGAAATTTAGGTAACATTTTGAAATCCTTTTGAAAAAAAAAGTTATTAAAATACGAACTGATAGTACTTAAAATGCCCGGTAAAAGTAACAATTGTCATTTTAAACACAAAGAAAAGCCACAAAAACCCAAAAAATCCGCCAAAATCAAGTCGTTCCCACCCAATGTCATAAACCATGTCTCTATTACCCTGCCCTCGTCAATCCCACCGCTCTAGTTAACGATACTATTACCTAGTTAATCGCCTTCATTAGGTGATTAAGTGAAAACCTATTTCGACGTGTTGGAATGGCGAAGAAAACCTGACCGAAGCACTGGAACGGCACACATTTGGGCGCTCTTATTATAGAGAGAAATCCGAAAAGTTCGACGGAAGAAAATAAATACGATTCTGGTTTTACCGAGTAACAATCTGCCTGTTATCACTGTTATTACTCGGGGTAGCCGGAAGTGATGCGAGTTGCTACAGATAGGAGAGCGGGGAGAGTGAGATGGACGGGGGATAGGGGAAGGAGCAGATGGGGTTTTGTCAACAAGACGATTGCATGGTAAATGTCACTTTAAAATTTTTAAATATTTTTTGTCCTAAAATGCTTGAAACTGGAAAAAACTTATAGCAGAGTCATAGTTAAGGCTCAAACTAAAGCTAAAATAGAAATGCGAGGGTCAAGTCTGAGTAGGGCTAATTGTAAGGTTAAAGCTTATGTACCTAAATAATAATAGTTATGGCTAGGCAGTAAATTAGGCATTAAGATAAATGTAACCCTACTTGAAAATAATTTTATGAGATTCTGTGATTCTTTCTATAATATTAGTTCGTCAAAAAAAACAGTAGGATGTCTGTATAGCAAACTCTAATATGATAAATTTCTGTGTAATTAGCAAACATTTTTTAGATTTTAATATAATAAAATTAGTTGATCCGCGGGAAAAGAATAACCGTATTTTACAAAACTGCAATAAAATGAATCATAATTAACACGTACAGTGGAACTCATGTATAATAAATCGATCGGGGACTTGAAATTTGTTCGCTATAAAAGAGCTTCGTTATACAGGAGTTTTAAATGCCCTGTGTAATGGTATACGGGGATTCAAAATTTGTTCGTTATATGGGATTTTCGTTATAGAGGAGTTCGTTATACAGGAGTTCCACTGTATAATGTTATTAAAATACGAAAACTTAAAATATCAAAAAAAAGTTAAAGTTGAGTATTTTTTTAGGTTTTAAAATAATAGAACTAGTTGATCAACGCGCCGTATTTTACAAAACTGCGACAAATGGTTTATAATAAACACATATTTTTATAACGAACAACTTGCAAATACTCGGCTAACACTACACAGTTCATTTAAAACTTTTTTGTAACGAAAACAAAATGAAAATAATCTGGTAATTTGTTACACAAGAGTTCTACTGTATTTCAAAATTTCAAAACATATAAATAGCATAATTAAAATTGAAAGTCATCATACCCAGAACTATAAAAGACCAGGCCTAGTAAAACCTTTTTCAAACCAACAGCTATTTCAGAAAGTGCAAAACATTTATAGAAAATGTAAGTTATCATACCTCACCAATTCTCGTCACAAATCTCGATAAACTTTCACCGAATCCCATTAATGTGTCAAATCGAAAAAAAACACAACAACGGAACATAACTATAAAAAATACAGCGCTCTCAACGTTGTAAATGCACATTATGCCGTGGATACCAAAAACAAACAAAAAATGTTCAAGAGATTGGGAGGAAAACGGAAATGCGACAAAATTCATGGTTACTCACTGCTGGAAAGTAATAAGGCGAGCAAACTGTTTTAGTAGAGAAGACCATTTCTTAGTAAAATTCAGAAATCTGATCATAAGTGACAAAAATACAAAAAAATTAAAAATACAGTAGAATCTCTGTATAACAATGCGCTTGCGGATTTTAAATCTGTTTGTTATAAAGGAATTTTGGCATAAACTAGTTTAAAATAAATTATTTATGTAGTGGTAAAAAAGTTAAAAATCAGTTTTTATACAGAAATTTTGTTATAGCAAAATTCGTCGTACAGTAGTGTGTAACACTTTTAAATCTCCAGTTAACACTACACAATACATGTAAAATTCCTGTATAACAAACCCTTTATAAGTAACAAATTTTAAATTCTGTAGCCATTCGTTAAACAGGTGTTTAAAAACTCCTGTATAACGTGTATAATAAAAAACTTTTTATGCCACTTGACTATTATATTCAGTTCGTCATAAAATCGAAATTTTTAAAAAATAAAAGTCACAACTCTCCATAAACCCCAACCCCAACTCGTTTTCAACGTGCATTCAGCGTAGAATCCGCATGAAAAACGTAATATTCAAAAATGTAATACAATAGTCCGATCTACCGCAGTGCTTTTTTGAATGCTTCTGAAAAGTTGTTGCGCTCCCTTTAGTTCCATCGCTCCCGAAACCCTTAGGCGTCTATACTTGAGTTGCGTGATATCTTCGCTTCTTTCTGGGTCAGCGAATCCGAAGGTCAGATTCTGGATCTCTTTTTGTTTTTTGTTTCGTCGACCAACTTATCATGGTTTCGTTTTTTGAAATTTCGAGGTTTCTGGAAGGCTGAAGAAGGTTTAGAAAGTGATTTATGGCATTTTCGAAACCCTTGGTGTCGTTACTTGAAATATATTATAGGTTGTTCAGCTTATTTTGTGCCTTCTAAACCCAAAAAATTTGCTTTGACAGGTGGCTCAAAATTAATTGAAAAACCTAACATTAAGTGCCGACATAAGGAAATAAGGAACCCACCATTTTTTACAGGAAATTACGGGCAAAGTATGGCGGGTTCTTTATGTCGGCATCTAATAGCAATAATGATAGTAGGAACAATACTAAAAACATTTCTTTCAAAGCTAGTTTTTGGTCTTTTGACTAAGGCAAGGTGTCGATGTGAATTGAAAAAGGCTTCCTTTTTGCCTGGCTTACTGAACTTTAGGTTAAGGTCAGTTTGGAAGCTATTGGTCGCTTACCTCGTACATTGGTGAACTAAATAAGAGCCATGTTAAAGCTACACTTAGACCAGTAAAGGGCCGTGCTTTGTTTTGGGCTTTGGCCTGTGGGCCCACGTATGCCAGCTCTGTCTAGCCTCTTTCAACTTTGTTTTGGCCTACCTTACTTTGAGACCAAGCCGGGCCTAGTGCGCTCTTTCTCAGATCTGCCTGCCCTACCGTGATTGTACTATTCATTATAGGTAATTTAACACTGTGTTTATTATGATATTAAACTTGTTTCATGAAAAAACGTGTCTCAAGAACAAGTTCAAACAACACATATTTCAAATAAAAGTCAAATTTGAATAACAATTCAGTGGATGTAAGAGAAACGCTTTGTTCGAACAAACTCAAGTGGATTAACACTATTCTTGATGTCGCCGCTCAACATGAAAGAGGATCCTTATGGCTTTGGAAAACTATATTTTTACAATTACAAATTCTATCCCGTCAAATTGGCATTGTGTTTCAAGCTTATAACTTTGTCATTTTTTGAGTTTTAATTATTTTTCTTTGATATACTAGTAGAATATCTACAAATGAACCTACACTTTTAAATTTGTAAGCGTATCTTGTCTGGAAAGTCGAAAAAGTGCTTGAAACTAAATGCCAAATTTTCCAAATTGGCGGGAAACTCAAATATTTAAAATTTAATATCCAATATTGCGAGCTAAAATTATTTATTGGTACTATTAATGGTACAATGAATTCATATAAAAATTTTGAGCTTGCTCGGTATGAGACAGGGGTACTTTCCTTGTAAGAAAGTTGTTTTTAAAGGTAATATACGTGATCTTTTTATTGTTTAGCAAAACATTTTTAAAACGATAGTTAGAAAAAGCTTTAAAAAGATAATTAATAACATTCTTATTAATTTTATTACAATACATAAACTGATGTTACAACTCTCGACTTTTGGCCTAACCATGTATCCTATCCACCACCATCACCAAAACCAAACCACGATGTTATTTCACACAATTGCAGGCCATAATTAGTTGAATGGGATTATAATTGTGTTATGTCATCGTCGAATGACCCGAAATTTGTTTTAATTGGCCCCTTAAAGACTCTTGTCTCGAGATAGGGTCATCGAATTAGCGTCGAGTTAAGTGTCATAGATATGTTGCGGATTAATCGCTGAAAAAACACAGGTTTTTCGCGCAAGGATTATCGTAATGAGATACTGTTAATTTGTGTTGTTTTTGAGGTAATGTAAATTGATGTTGGTTTAAAGCAATGTATAATAATGTCAATTTATGTTGATATTTGTGTTGCTTATGAGTTTTTCTGTATTAAAGTTCACTACAATATTGGATGAAAGCTAAAACTAGAGCTAAGGCTAGAGATAAAGATAATAATGAGAATCAAGCCTGGCCTGGCCCGTTTTTGAGGCTCGGCCCAAAGCCGGAGCAGTCATTTTTTTCTCACGCCGCCCTGGCCCGGTAAAAAATACTAGGCTTGGACTAGAAGACCCAACCTTTAGCCCAGGGCCGTTTCAACCATAGCTCAAGACCGGCTTGGCCCGATCATAAGGCTACCCCACATGGCCCGTTTTTTTTCAATAAGCTGGGGCCTTGGGCTAGGATTTTGGGCTAGGGCTCAGGGCTAGGGCTCTCGGCTAGAGCTAGGGCTTTTTTTACTTTTTATTTTGCCTTTTCTATCTTCTTCTATCCCTGACACCCTCCATAACCTCCCACCCTCGATTCTCTATTCTTAAGCCAATTTGTCGAGAACACCCTCAGGGCATGGAAAACTTTTTAAACGGCCGCCGAGATTATGCAAAATCGAATTTGTTGAGATTTCTAAACGGTTTATCGCGGCTCTCTTCAAATTATGTTAAGGGCCGCCATTTTGTCATGCAAATTCGAGAAGGTCGGGAACAAGAGATCGCGGCGATTAGCCCAAATTACAAGGAACAACATGATTAGCAGAGGTCGGTAATATGGCCGGATGAGAAGAGTATTGCCGGTCGATTAGGGAGAGGACAATATTGTTTTTGAACAGTTGCGTAATTATGACATTACTGTTGGTTTGGGTGCGATAGGAGCTTTCGTTTATAGGTAGAGCCGGCTTTTGATAAGGAAGGTGAGAAGCGAGGGGGTGGAAGACCAAAAGATACCTTTAGTTTTTGAACAGAAGAAAGAAAATGCTCTCCCCAAAATTTTTTGAGAGGAGATCACAAAAATCCCCACCTATCCTTTAAAGCAAAAAAATTTTGACCTTCTGCCCTGTTGTTCAAGACCAAAACAACTAGTTTTTAAATGGCTATGGCATTAGCCATAGCTATTTAAAAATATTACACATATTTTATAGGGGCCCACATTATGTGCCAAGACTAGTGTAAAATCAAAATTAAAATATGAAATTTTTGAAATTTTTTCAAATTTTAAAACCTAAAGTTAAAAATTTTAAATTTTTTAAAACGCAAAGTTACTATTTTTAATCAAAAACACTGTAGCCGTGGCTACAACTAAAAAAAAACAATCTTATCATAGCCAAATCCTGGGCATTTCCGCTTCAACTTCCTAACTCAATTCCGCTAGCCAAACATTTATTCACGGTTAGCCAAATTCGTTTCCTCGAGTGCGTCCGCCGATACTGTATCCATGGCCGTCTGTTCGTGAGGCGGGCCAAGTGCGCGAAAATTTTGCGTCGGCTTTTGGGCCAACCAATCAGCGAGAATATCCCCGGCCAAGAAACGGGTATGACGGCCAAGACATAGAACTAAGACGGATAGACTGGGGGTTCGTTATTAAGAAGAGGATATACTTTGTGCAAGTCCCCCCCCTCTCTGTCTTAAGGCGAGGGGCAGTGTGTCTCTACTACAATATCAGTCCCTTCATCCTGACATCCTTCTTCTATAACATTTTATGCTAGCATCTATCCTTTACTACAACATCTTCTTACTCTAACATCTCCCCCCCCTACTATAAATTACTACAACTTCCCCTCTCTACTATAACATACTTCCTTCTACACCCCAACATAGTCCCCCCCCCCCCCCCCCGAGCGGCCTATATTCACCATTCCGAATCAACTTGAAGCGACTTCGTTAGTCTCCTCTCAACGTTGTTAGGGCTCGTTTGTTGTGCAGGAAGACCTGATGCAAGTGCATCATCAAGAACAATCTTGTTTCGGCGCCGAATTTATGACTCCTGGAAGTCAGTTAGTTGGGCAGGACCTTCATTCCGCCAGCCTTCTGACGCCCTTCCATGTGGACGACCAACCGTCCCAGAATCCGCACTCGACGGCCGCGGCGGTTGCGGCCGCGTTGTTGGCCGCTAACTGCTATGACAATGTGCTGCCGAGGAATGGGATTAATAACATGAAGATGGAGGAGGGATACGACGTTGGTAGTGGGTATTATGGTGCTGGTAGGTTACTGTATTTTTTGCTTTAGTTTTTCCTTTCATTTACACCTTATCTAAAGCTTAGTATTCCGGGTAAAGTAAAGAAAAAAAAAGAAAAAAATTTTTTACCGTCTCCTTTAGTCATCAAGAGGGGCATGACCTAAGTTTTCGGCCCAATCTTTTTCAAGTTTGCTTTAGCCCGGCCAGGCAGGCGAGGGGCCGAGCCGATGCATGTCCAGGCCTAGTGGGCCCCTTTTCAGGCCTAGTCTTAAAAAAGTTAGGGGGAAAGGGTATTACCGAGCCAAATGGTCCCTTTTGCCCTAAAGAACAAGTTTTATATTGTTTTACCATCAGTGGACTTGTCAGCCAAAAAAAACTTTTTTTAAGCAACAGGGGGACAAGTTCAACTTTTTTTAAAAAAAATTTTGAATAGCCCCCCCCGCCTCCACTACCCAAATGTATCCCATTTTTTATATATTATTTCTTTCTCAACGCAAGATATACCCATCCAAGTGGTCCTGCTAAGGTATCACACAAAGTTATAAAATCAGTTTGAGTTACTATGTCATGTATTGTCTATTGTACAAAAGGAAAAAACATTGGACGCGTGTTCTCCTTGTTTTTTTTGAAACGATGACTAATATAGGATGCGCCTATGCATCCGTATATCAAAATATTTTTGTTGCTTCACGAAAATTTTTAATGTAATTTTATGGTCTTATAACGTTACTTTTGCATTTTTTTGCGTTTTTAAAAGTGGAAAATTTTTTTTTCAAATTTTTAAAAACTTTAAATTTTCTAATTTAAAATTTTTAAAATTTCAATTTGTGCTTTTTAAACTGAATTTTTTGTTTTCAAATGTCAAAATTTAATTTCTAGGCTTATTTTTACATTTTATTACCCTAAAATTATTTTTAAAAATTTTTCATCAAAATTCAATTTTCAGTCTCAGACCCCTGTACCAGTGTCCCACTGTCCCAGCCGAACGTTTTCTGCCAACCTCTGACCATCTCCACCTGTTCCAATGCCCTGGACTCCATAAACGACGCCGCCGCTCTTCATCACGACATTAAGCACGAGGATAAGGCCTGGTTCTCTTGCCATGATTGTATGGAGCCGATCAAGGAGAGGTTTCTACTCAATGTCGACAACCACAATTACCACAGTAATTGCATCAGATGCAGTGATTGTTCGATGAATTTGCAAGAAATGCCAAGTTGTTTCGTTAAACATGGCAGTTTGTATTGTAAACCTTGTTATGGACAGTAAGTTTTTGCGTTTTTCACTAAGTTTATAAAAGCTACAGTATCTTTAGTGGCCAGAGGGTGATGGTAAAGTGGGCTGTAGAGAGTAAAAGAGAGTGGGAAGGCATAGAAACTTCAAAAAGGGGGTTTGAATTGAATGTGATCCCCTTGTGAAGTCTTGAAAAAAAACTCCTACCCCCCCCTTCCACTAAAGCTTAAATTTCAATTTTAGTACTAGCTACAGTAACTCGACCGTTTTATTGTAAGAAAACCAAGATTTTCTACCTTTCCTATCTCCACCATCCTTTCGAAACCCAGTCTCCCAACTGCCAAAACTTACAGTACCCTCACTCATTGTATGGTAAAAACAAGAAAAAGTCCACAATAGAGAAAAGACATTACTATCGCTTAACGAACCAAATTCAAGAATCTGAATACCAACTAATTCCCCCGAGGACGTTTAACTTTGGACTTTTTCAGGAAATTCCAAACAAAATGTGCGCATTGCGAGCGACAAATCCAGCCAACGGACTGGGTCCGCCGCGCCCGCCATTATGTGTTTCATTTGGCCTGCTTTTCCTGTACGCATTGTAAGAGGCAGCTCAGTACCAAAGAGGAGTTTTGTCTACAAGAGAATCGTTTACTATGTAAACAACACTATCTCGAGCTGGTTCAGGGGGATGATTGTAAGTTTTTTTTTGTATAAACTGGCCAAATTTTGTCGGGATGGGCCTGAAAATGAGCTGAAGACATACCCAATGTTCAGCTATGCCAAATGGGACATTTTGGTTCCAGAGAATCAAAAAAAATTTTGTTTAATTTCAATTTTTCAAATTTTTTCCAGCAATCGACAGAGTGGTGGACCAAGTTCAAAATTTTTTCAAAATTTTTTTTTCGTTAAAACAAAAAGATGCCCTCATAAAAATGACACTATAGATTAAACCAATAAAACAACTTTTCAGCCCAGTCCAAGCAAAAAACTAAACGAGTCCGAACGACTTTTGCTGAAGAACAACTTCAAATCCTCAATGCTCACTTTCAATTGGACTGTAATCCAGATGGCGGAGACTTGGAACGAATAGCTTCATTGACTGGCCTATCCAAGAGAGTCACTCAAGTTTGGTTTCAGGTAAGAAGGTTTTGAAAGGTTTTGAGGGGCTAAAATTAATTTTTTTAAGGCTTAACCTAACGTTTTTAAGGTTCAACCTAACTTAACCTGACAAACCTTATAGTTTAATTAAAATAAAAGCACCTTTATGCAAATAAGTCTTCGAAATTAATTTTTAAACTCCTTCAGAACTCCCGAGCCCGCCAAAAGAAGAGCCACGGCCCTCGGAAAAAGATCACCGGCCCGGGATCAATCCACGCCACCAGCTCGGCAAGTGGAAGATCAAGTCGAGCTACCTCTCAATCCAACATGTCTCCAGCTCCAAAATCTCCAGAAGAGCAGCAGCAATGAACACCATGGTCAAATCCTGATAAATTGATCAAGAAAACCATGAAAAGTGAAGCACAAATTATATTATCCATGATCTCATTAAACCACTCAGGTGAAACAAACCGCCCAAAATATTATAACTCGTATCTTTTTCATTATTATGCATAAACAGTAACAGTTGCAAAATAAAGTTTTATTCTAATGCGGATTGGCTTTGTAAAACTAAAGTTAGGCTCTATTTTTGGTGTCTTCTGACCTTATAGTGCCATTTAATAGTAATATAAAATAATTTTAAAAAAATCTAAAATCTCAATAAGTGTTTAAATAAATGTTATGAACATTAAAAGTGGCATAATATACCAAAAATTATGACGCGGAAGTTGAAAAGAACCGTATTTCACAAATTAAAACAATAAAAGAAAAACTTGGCACATACGTGTCAAGAGTTTCGCTATAATATTTTTCCATAAAATTTTGTTTTTCTTGCTTCCAGCGGTTCCAAACCTTGTAATGTCGCAGAACGATCGATCAGTGAACCAGAAATTCTCGGATATGCGTTTGAACGTTGAAGGCCGTGCTCTGGATGAAAGCTACAGCAATATGATGGATTCCTTCGATGGAGACGAGGTATGTTAACGTTTTTGTTTAAATTTTATTGTTTTTAGGCAATTCCTGCTGTCAAAATCGAGAAGAATGAGCCACCATTGTTGCACAAGAACTTCTACAGAGGTATGTGAATGTTAATAGTTTAGTTTTATTCTACTTTATTTTAAACTTTGTTTTAATATTTATAAGCAAGGATAACATCTTTATTTGATATGTTTCAGATTTCATTGATCCATTTGACCCTTACAACAAGCTGAAATGATCTATTTAACTACTCTTACGTATATTGTACATTACTTGGCGCTGTTTTAATAAATATAATGCGATTAATTGATGTTACACTTGATTTTCATGTCGTATAAACGCTTTTCGATATTTTAAGGGTTTTTGGTTGCTTTAGGGCTTACTTTTTGTAAAGGATATTTAAAATATCATGTGAAGATGTTCTTTGTTAAGTTTTATAAAGTTTTGTTGAGTTTTCTCTATGTTATGTTATACCTTTAGTATGCTAAAAAGGCCGGTGATATTGCCAATACGAAGGTATTCCGCAGCCATTGAAGGATGGATCAGCCAGAAAACTACGGAAACCGCTAATTTATCGAATGGGCAAATGGTGTTTAACACCGGTCATATGGCTAGATTCGCTTCTGGGGCATGTACAGTAACATACGGTGATACGACAGTTTTATCAACAGCTGTGTCAAAGCTTGAGTCAGCTGCTCCATCATCGTTAACGTCAGGAAAGATGTTTTCAGTTGATTTTCTACAATCAGCATCAGCTGTTGGTCGGATACCAATGAATTACTTGAGGAGAGAGCTACAACAAAGTGACGATGACATCTTGATATCGAGGGTTATCGACCGGTCGTTGAGGCCTGTTTATCCGGATGCTTTTAAGTAAGTTTTTTTTTAAACTTGAGTTGATGTTTAGGACTGGAATGTCTAAAAAACGGCTGGAATTTTTTGTTTTCGAAAGTTACAGCAGCTTCATGGATAACATGATATTTATTGTCAATATATATATATTATAATCAAGTTTAATTTAAAAGCAGTCTTATTTTTACAAATTTTACACTATACATTTAATTGAGATTTATTTTAACTTCTAGAGGCACAACAAAAGTCGTATGCAAGCCGTTATCAGCGACTAGAGGAGCAGATATGGCAGTACTAGGAATAAATTCAGCGTCATGTGCGTTGGCGTTGTCAGATGTGCCTGTAGAAGAAACTGTAGGAGCTGCGAGGATAGCTTTGTTTGGAAATGAGGTAAATTTTTGAAACTTTAGATTTTTAAATTTTTGCACCGTGCAATTAAAATTTAATTTTTTTGCACTGTGCAGCCACTTTTTTAAACATTTGTGAAACAATACGGGCTTCCTGTTAAAAGTGAAAAATTTTTCAGGTAATACTTAATCCCCCATACCCAGAGCTTCAAAACAGTAGGATGAACTTGTTGTTGGCAGGGACAAGGAGTAAGAAAGTGCTGATGATTGAGATGGATGGTAAACAGATCGACTTGGACACGTTTATGGAGACAATAAATGCTGGTTTCACTGATATTGATAAAATTGTGGATGCTATTGAACAGCTACAGAAAAGTTGTGGTAAACCAAAGTCGGAGGTGGGTTTTTGATTAGGAATTGATAAAATTGATTCTAAAATGGCACCTTTGGGGTGAGAAACGTTGATGAGTTCATGTGAGGACCGTGGGGACTAGAAGTTGATTTTTCATTGGAAATGACGACTTGAAATGACATTTATTATATCTGAAATGAGGATTTCGAAGCCTTTAGGTATTATGATAGTATTTCATCCCAATTCCAGGAAACCCAACTTATGACAAAAGTTGAGCAGCAAATGGCAAAAGACATATTGGACATGGCGACAGATCGAATCGAATACATCCTAACTGACTCTTCTCACCTGAAAGACTCAAGAGATAAGGCCATATCAACATTTCAAAAGGAATTAGTAACACAATATATGGCACAAAAGCCCGATGTGCCAGAATATGTTGTAAACTCAATATTCTCTTTGGTGGTTAAAGGAGTGTTAAGAAAATTGACTAGAAATACTGGTATCAGGGCGGATGGCAGAGCTGTAGATGAATTTCGAAGAATTCAAATTGAAACTGATCTGTACCCAAGGCTACATGGCTCGGCAATGTTTCAGAGAGGCCAAAGTCAGGTTATGGGTGAGTGTTTTTTCGTTTAGGGGGTGATGGCTTGAATTTTTTGCTAAGGAGGGACTGAGTTTTTAAATTTTCTGGAGGTGGGGATATTTTTTCAAAAAAAAATTAAAATTTTTTATTGTTATGGTACTTTACTCTCTCTATTACAAAAAATAGACCTACATTATCACTTTTAGGTACCGTGACCTTTGACTCCCCACTCCGCTTTCCGACCAGATGCCATAGCCCAACTCCTGGGTGCGCAACAAAAGAAGTCCTTCATGGTACACTACGAGTTTCCTCAGTTCGCTGTCAACCAAATCGCCGACCATGCCGGTCGATTCAACCGTCGATCTCTTGGGCACGGCACGTTGGCCGAGAAAGCCCTAAAACATGTGGTACCAGACGACTTTCCATACTGTATTCGAGTAGATTGTCAAGTACTAGAGTCGAATGGCTCTACTTCGATGGCTAGTGCTTGTGCCGGATCGTTGGCTATGTATGATGCTGGAGTACCATTGAAGAATGCGGTTGGAGGCGTGGCAATCGGGCTGTTTAGTGATAATGGAGAGCTGATGAAGGAGGATGGAGATCAAGAACCTGTGATTTTGACTGACCTAATGGGCATGGAGGATTATGCTGGAGACATGGACTTTAAGATTGGAGGTGGGTAGGGGTGGGGGATTTGTTTTTTGGGCACGGTAGAATCTAAATTTTTCAAAATTTTAGGTACAAAAGACGGCTTCACAACTATCCAACTAGACGTCTCAATACCCGGACTAACCTTAGACATAGTAAAAGAATCCCTAATACGAGGTAGACAAGGTCTAGGTCATGTGTTAGAGAAGATGAATGAAGTGGGGCCAGAACCAAGGCCTGAATTCAAATCATGTGTACCAATACTAGAACAAATGACACTACCATCGTATAAGAAGAGTGCTTTGTTCAGAAATGCCTGTTTTAACGCGAAATTAGTCGAAGCCGAAACTGGAGTTCAAGTTCAGTCAGAGGACGAGAACAAGGTGTTATTGATGGCACCGTCAAAAGAAGACGCTGATAAGGCCAAGGAGTTGATTAAAAAGTAAGGTTTGGCTTTTAGGTATAGTGGGCATGGCTAGGAAGGATTTTTTTTTGAGGTGAATATTGAGGCGGGGGGGGGGTATTTTTTTTGGGGGGGTGGATCATGCTAAATTTCTTTAGATTGGCAAAGAAAAGCAGAAAAATTAAATTTTGTTAAATTTTTTTCGGTTTTAAAAATATTTCCTTTCAGACTAACAGACGTGTCAGTTGAAGTAGACCCCCCATTCGGCGAAACCCAAAAGTGCGAGATCATTGAAGTTATGGATCGTGGTGTCCTAGTCAAGCTACGAGCCTACAGAGAGCCAATATTCATACCGATCAAGAGCATCACCGCCAAAAATGTCAAACACACATCCGCATTGGACTTGAAAGTTGGCCAAAAACTGTCACTTCAATTCCTCGGCCGAAACCCTGACACCGGCCAAATTCGACTGGTCAATCGATTGGCTGTGGCTTAAACTGGTTAATAGATTGGCTGTGGCTTGAAAGGGACTACAATTAAAAAATTTTGAATTTTGTTTAGTCTAATTTTTTAGTTTTGGTCGAAAAATTATTTGTAGTTGATTAAAATCGCTTTCATGACATCCGGTTAGACTTAACTAAAACAACCTTATTTTTGCGTTTCCGTGACGGAGAAATGTCATTCACTAGGACTATTATTGTTGAAATTGTTGATTTTTATTGTTGATCTTTTAACTCAATAAATAAATTGAAATTTGTTGAAAAAAACGTTGGGTTATTTTACAAAAGTTTGGTTATTTTGTTAAAAAACGCTTGGTTATTTAATATTTTAAGTTTACTTGAGTTGAGGACAAGGACACTAAAAATATATTAAAAATAGAACGCAAAATGAAATAAAAACCTCAAAAAAGGCCGTTTTATACCTAAAAAAAAAGTCAACATTTCTAAAAAGAAAGTGTAGAAATGCTTTAAAAAAATACTGCATACATTTTACAACCTTTTTAAAACTTTATATACCTAAAATCCAAAAAACTACGAAAAATCGCGTTTTCTCTCTTTCTCTGCTTTCTCGCATAACCCAGTCAAAAGACGAGAGAGCGTTTTTCCGCCCCAAAAAATAAAAAAGAAAAACCAAAGGGCGATGATTTTATTTATAATCAGAGACAGTCTGAAAGTTGTGAGGACACCTTTAGTCAACCATGAGCCCGATTTACAGTAAATTTTAAACTTTACATTGTAGCGTATGATAAATTTTGTGAGTATTGAGATTTTTACTAATTTTTTAAAAATTTTATGGTATTTTAATTAATTTTCCAATTTTTTGTCGTAGCTCCATGTTAATATAGCTGTTTTTATGCCTAAAAATCTAAATAGTACCTAAAAATATATAATTTGCATTTTTAGGTAACATAATTTATATTTTAGGTAACAAAAATGATTTTTTCAACTTTCTCGAATTCAAATGCGAGAAAACTTCAAAAAATCGAAATTTGGGTATAAAAGCTTCGAATTTATGTCGCCAAAGCTCATTTCGAGCAGATTTTGCATGTACAAGACCGGTCGATTCCATTGATTGGTGGTTCACTCTCGTGCTTGCTTTCACCGTTCTTGAAACACATCTTTTACCGGAAACGAAGCTGAGGGTGCAAGTGGATGGAGGATGTCCGCTGCGAACGAAAAAGATGATGATGGTATGAACCTCAAAAAGGTGGGTTTTGCATTGTTTTAGGTAGTGTAAAAATGGAAAGTAATTGATTTGTTGTTGTAAAATGAGGATTTTTTCGGTTTTTAAATGGCTGGTAGATTTGAAAAGGGGAGGGGGGGTTTGGCTTATTAGGCCCGGTCCCTTTGCTTGTCTAATGGGTAATTGGGTTGGATAGTTTGAAGAAGATTTTGAAAAAAAAAAGTTATTTTGATCTAAAAGTTAATTTAAAAAATGTTGTCGAACTTTATCGGTTTGTCTACAATGTTTGGCACAATACGTAAAGTAAGAAATTTCATTATTATTGATCATAGAGTAAATTTCATTTTGAAAAAATGTTTTTTTGAACTGTTCATGCTCAAATTAAAAAAAAATTTATAGGTAGTGTGTTTTAGAAAAAAAAGTTCAAATATTTTTAAAAATTATTTTTTGTGGGTATATAGGATTTTCAATTCTAAAATGCAACAACGTATTTTAAGTTGAGTTATATGTACTAAAAAGTATGCTACTGTCAGTGCCGGATGGGGACTTTTGGTCTGGCGGCGGGGGTCTCTCCCCCCCTGGCTACTGTCTACAGTAATATCATAAAGTTTGTCATGTAATTTATTGATTTCAGGACGCGGTGATAGCCGGAAACAATGGTGAATACACTATCATCAAACTTCTTGGAGAAGGTGGCTTTGGTAAGGACTTTCCGGGGGGGGGGTAGAATTGACATAAAGTAGGCTTAGAGATACTGAATTGTCTCTAAATTTATTTTTCTTTTTTTTAATTTAAAATTAATTTTTTAAAAAATTTTTTTTTAATTTAAAATTTTTTTTTAAATTTTGAACAAAAATTTGAATTTCAGGCGCAGTGTACTGCGTGAAAGCGACGGACGGAAACGAATACGCGATGAAAGTTGAGAAGAAATTACTGAAACGAAAACATTCCAAACTCAAAATGGAAGTGGCGATCTTGAAGCTGGTGGGTGAGGAGAAGGAGACCGTCCACTTTACCAAGATTATCGACCGCGGCAAGAAGGAGCAGTACTTTTTTTTGGTAATGGAGCTGGTAGGGCCCTCGCTGGACGATATGAAGCGGACTAGACCACACAAGGTGTTCTCATTGCCGACTGGTTTAAAGGCCGGGATTCAGTGTCTGAAGGCGGTGGCGGCGCTACACAAACATGGATTCATTCACAGGGATCTGAAGCCGGCCAACTATGCTCGGGGGCTTAACGACAAGCGGACTGTGGTGGGTTTGAAATTTTGATGTTATAGTAGTTTAAAAATTTTAATTTACGACCGGTTTAGAGTTGCAAATTTTGTTTTCTGAGAAAGGAGGCGAGAGACTAAACAACTTGATTTCAGGTCTACCTCCTCGACTTTGGCATAGCACGTTGCTACAAAAACATGGCAGGTGATATCAAAACCCCACGCTCATCAGTTCCCTTCAAAGGCACGGTACGGTTTGCCTCCAGAAGTTGTCATCGCAACAAAGAGTTGGGTCCAAAGGATGACTGTGAGTCATGGTTCTACCTCCTCCTGGACCTTATCATTGAGACTGGACTACCGTGGAAGAAGTTTGCCGACCGTGACAAGGTGATCCAATGCAAGGACGAGATGAGAGAGAACGAGAGTCGGCGGAAGAACTCCCTCTTTTACAACATCAAACACACGGACTACTTTGACAAGGTATTGGAGTACCTGGACAGCCGGACCTATGCCGACAAGATTGACTACGAGTTTCTGTATGAGGCGGTGACTTTGGTAAGGGATTTGATGTGGTTTTGTTTGGGAGGATAAGGTGAGGTAGAAAAATCTTAAAAAATTATTTTTTTTTGGGCGTGGGGAGGGGTAAGGTAGGGGAGAAAAAAAATTTAAAAGAATTTTGGGGTTGGGGGTAAGGTAGGGTAGGGTAAAAAAATTGAAAAGAATTTTTTTAGGGGGGCGTGGAGCAAGGTAAGGTGGGGTAGAAAAATTTTTAAAAACGGGTTTTTTGGAGGGCGGGCTAATGTAGGGTAGAATTTTTTGTTTGTTTTGTTTAAAAATGGTTTAATATTGACTTTACTTTAGACAGGAGTGAGATGCGGAGCCAACATGGACGCGCCATACGATTGGGACAAGGACTCGGCCACGCGTACCAGCACTACACAGGCCACCGTAACCACAGGCGGCAATAACAAAACCAAAAAATCGTCGAAATCAACTCAATGTAAGGTTTTTTGAGCTGGCATAGGCTTTCTTGACCCAAAATTTAAATTTTTAAAAAATTTTTGGTGAAATTTTATAGCTGGACTCATTTTTCTGAATATGTACAGCTTGAGTGCTAATACATAACTCTTTTTCGAAGTTTAAATCATACTAGTTTCAAATAATTCTGCGCTCTTTCCCAGAGCAAATTTTTGAGTTGATGGGGCACATAATTACTTGAACAACCTAATAGAATAGATATAAGAAAGGTTACAAAAATAAGTTACAGGATAGGATATGGGTAAGTAGAAAGAAAACTATTTAAGAAAGGGGTAAGGCCAGGACTAAGGATAAGGTCAGGGTTAAGGTAGAGTAGGATTAAATAGGATAAGATACAGAAATACAAAGTAAGAACACGTAAAGTAAGGTAAAATACATTAGGATCGGATAAGGAATAGAAGGGTATGGTAAGACAAGGTAGGGTAGGGTAGGGTAAAGTAGGTAGGGTAGGGTTTGTTAGGGTAGGGTATGTTAAATTAGGGTATGTTAGGGTAGGGTAGGGTAAGATAAGGTAGGGTCGAAATTGTTATGTAACTAAATGTTTTAAAATTCGTTTTAAAAATTAAAATGACCTTTTTATATATTTTAATTTCAGCAAGCAACCAAAGGACGACCAAAACCAACAAACAGTCACGACAATGCAGCTCGAGCGAGGTGTCTCCACAATCTGACTAAAATAAGATTTGAATAAATTTGTACACTAGTCTTGTTTCTTAATGATTATGACGTTTTTCGTTGTATATATTTTTTTTTGTAAAATACGTTATATTTAATTGTTGGATATCAATTTTTTTAAACTTTATTTTGCTTTTTTTACCTTATACTGCCCCCTACATACCCTAGCCTAAAACTATATGCCTTCTTTTGCCTAAAATAATATAATTTATTGAATTTCAAGCATTTTACAATGTTATCATAGGCAATTTGAACTGTAGTAGGTCTAGTAACAAGTATAATATAATTTTAAACCGGTCGTATCTGATCACTGTGCCACACACTCATCATTGGCCACATTCGATGACCATTGCCCGTTGGTACAAGTATAGATTTGGATTGGCGACGATGTGCCACTGAAAACATAGCCACTCTGACAGACCTGAACTACCATCGTGCCAGAAGATGAACTGCTACTGAGGGCCGAGTCATTTGATGCTGGATATAAAGTGTTGTCCAAGTCGAGACTGGATAGAGCTGCACATGTTGAGGATGATGAAGAAGATGTGGAGGCTGATACTAGGGAGGAGCCTGGAAGTTTAAATTGCACTTTTGAACTTTGTAGACCTTAGGCAAGGCTTTACCTTTCCCTACCCTACCCTCCTGCCCTCAAAAACCTACCACTACATCCATAAGTCGAGGCAGTCCGATCCCAATTCCCACCATCTTCACATGTATAGTTAGCCAGTGTCTTACCATCAGCATGCACCTTACCATACAAACATGCTACCATAACACTTTCGCCGGGTGAGAACATGTATTTGGTGGGGGTGGGGTAGAAGTCTTCCACATCTGTATCAATATCAAATAAGACACAGTAGCCTTCACAACCCGGCGGTACGGTACCGACGGTTACTGTAGCTCCGTGGGAGTTTTGGTTGGCTGTTCCGGCGTCTGATGCTGTGGCTGTAAGGTGTATATATATACATGTTTATGATTATATTTTATTTGGTCGTTCAAATAATTCTGTGCCCCTAATCTTAAAAATTTACCTTGAGATGTTATTATAGTGAAAAATGGTATTTTGGCTTTTGCGTGCTGCGGGTGACATTTTATACGATGAAAGGTATATTTTTTGAATTTAAAGCGTTAAAAGACATGAAATTTTGAATTTTTAGGTATGCTTTTAGCTATATTTAAAGCCAACTTACTAGCACAAGTAAGAACAGAAGCAGTAGAATCCCATCCACTGCTGGTACAATTGAACTGCATGATGGTTTCACCATTGTAGTGCACTTTACCATACAAACAAAACACTTGAACATATTCTCCGGATGTAAAAGTAGTCTTATTTGGGGTTGGAAAGAAAGTTTCTGTCGAAGAGTCGATCGAAAATAACGTGCATTCACCGTTCTATAATAATATTTTAAATTTAGGTAACAAGTAATGTTTTACAATATATAATATGCAAGATACGACGGGGGTAGGACAAGGTAAACTAGATTAGGCTAAGCTACAATAAGCTGAGTTAGGCCAAGGTAGGATAGGGTAGGTTAAGGCCTTGCAAGGCAAAGCAAGACAAGTCAGGTCCGCTTGTCGTATCATTACAAAGTAAAACAAAAACTTACAGAGCTAGAAGCAGCAGTGGTACTAGCAGCTCCAGCTTTAGTAGTACATGCTCCAGTGGTCGCTGACAGAGTTGTAGTAACAGCAGTTCCTGTACCAGCCGTTACTGTAGTTACAGAGGTTAGGGAGGTTACTGGAGCGGTAGTCACAGCCGTAGTATGTGATGTAGTAGATACTGCAGTAGTAGACGAGCCTAGCTCGGTCGTGGCTATATTTTAACTTGTGGTAAGTACAGTATTTTTTTAAAATTACAGTATACTAAGTACACAATTCAGCATTTTAACATAATTTTTCATTGCAATATTATACTACAATACCCATACAGTACCCCAAAATAAACTTACGCGTTTCTACCGTGCTTCCAGACGTAGTCACCACAGTAGAACCAGGCGTGGTAGTACTACCTTCGGTGGTGGTTTCTCCTGTAGTTGTACTCTCTTCAATGGTTGTACTTCCGGTACCAGTGGTCCCAGTGGTAGTACTCCCTGTGTATGGTGTAGTAGATCCAACTGATGTGGTTTCGGCTTCTGTAGTCGAACCTGGTGTTGTAGTAGAGCCGGTGAACTCAGTTGTACTCCCAGTGAATACTGTGGTGCTCCCAGTAAATACTGTGGTACTCCCAGTGTTTTCAGTGGTACTTCCGGTATTTTGAGTAGTACTCCCGGTGTTCTGTGTGGTACTAACTTCTGTTGTGGTACCAACTGTTGTTGTAGACCCAGTAAATTCAGTAGTGGTGCCAGTGTAGGGGGTTGTGGTACCAGGCGTTGTGGTTGACCCAGTAAACTCGCTGGTTGTTTCTGTTGATACAGAGGTACTTGTCGTGGCAACTGTCGTACTGGCTGTGTTGATGGTTGTTGTGCCTGTGTACGCTGTTGTGCTTGCAGTATTGACTGTGGTGCTACCTGAAAGAATGCGGGGTTAGGAGATTTATATATTGTTAAAGTGGTACTGATCATAACAAATGTAGTACTGGTGGTACACAGTGATAGCACTTGGTTTGAAAAGCAGTGCTTGTAAAGTAGGTGGGGTCAAGTAGGTTAAACGGTAGAAGTGGGAAGAATAGGGTAAGATAAAGTGGGTTTGATATGGTAGGATAGGGTAGGGTAGGGTAGGTAAAGTGGTACTACCTGTGTACAGAGAGGTGCTTCCGGTATTAACCGTAGTGGACCCTGTGTTTACTGTGGTGCTTCCTGTGTACTGTGTAGTACTGCCGGTGTTGGCCGTGGTGGTGCCAGTACCAGCAGTACCAACTGTTGTTGATCCAGTATTGACAGTTGTGGACCCTGTGTTCGCTGTAGTAGATCCAGTGTTTATCGTAGTAGAAGCTGTATTAACTGTAGTAGAGCCTGTGTTTACTGTAGTACTACCAGTATTAAAAGTAGTGCTACCGGTGCTCTTAGTGGTACTCTGACCAGGTAATAATGTGACCGATGTTATGTTAGTACCTGGTTCCGTTATTGCTACAGTAGTAGCGCTGGTCTCACCACCAGTGGTAGTAGTACCAGTAGTACCGCTGGATGTTGTAGTAACGGCGGTTGTCTTAGAAGTAGTTGTTAAAGCTGTTTCTCCAGGGACAGTAGGTATGGTTACTGTAGGTACAGTTACTGTCGGTACTGTAATCGTAGTACCAAACGTCGTAGTGGCGCCAGAAGTGGTGGTACCACCTGATGTTGTAGTAGCTCCAGACACTGTTGTAGCTGTAGTTTCAGCCGTGTTTACTGTGGTGGTTGCTGCGGTTGTCGTGGTTGTGGTAGTTGTGGTAGTAGTAGTTGTTGTTGTAGTTGTGGTTTCAGTTGTTTCTTCCGTAGTGGCTTCTGTTGTGGCCTCTTGGCATGATATTGGTGGTATGTTGAACAGTACGTTGGTAGTGATGAGCCATATTAGTAAGATTTTAAGCTTACAACCCATTTTTTGGCTTGAGAAGCTTAAGGGATACAGTAATAGGGTTTGTACAGGCAACACAACTTTTTACAGTAGCAGTGTACTGTAATTTTAAATCTTTTGAAAGTACGTTTTAAATAGTACTATAGTACTAAAATGAGTACTAATTTCCCAATATCAGTCAGTATCTACATGAAACCTTTGTTATAGTACTACAACATGCACTATTCAATATAGTACTACAATAAAATTATGAAAAACACCAGTCTAATATCAAGCCAGCTTGTCAAAATGATGATATTAATCTTTTTTCCTCCGAACGAACGGCGAAATAAACAAAAGTTGTGGGGAAAGTCATGACAATATGCAAAACATTCAACAATTGCCATGGTGAATATCGTTCGATTAATCTTCACGTTTTTTCTTCAAAAATTCAAATTTTTATAGGCAAAAAAGTACGTAGCAACGTAGAATGTCTATCACAATATTATAAATTTTAAAAATTTAATTATGTAAAATATATAACTTTTTTTAAAATTTAAAAATGGAGTTTTTTGAAAACTACAAAACGTCTTTTCAATGTGAAAATTAGTTGTGTTGCCTGTTACTAATACAATATATTACAGTATTTTTTTTGTTTTTTACCGACTTGCTTAAAATCTGAAGAATATTTAGCATTATATTACTGTTATCAGTATATTAGAGTAAAACATTAAACTGATGCATCATGGTGTGATATAGTGATGTGAGATCAAGAAAATAGTGCTTTTCACAGCAAAGAACTAAAATTTTTCAGAAATTAAAAACCTTTTTGTAAAATACAAAATTCAGAAAGGTGGTCCGCACGATTGAGCCCTTTTTAAATTTGTTTTATGTTTCCACTCAGGAATGAGCTCGCCTAGTGGGATTTTTAGGCCTAAGCCTATTCATAACGAACAAATTTAAATTTCTGAAGCTATTATTATACAGGCGTTCCACAATGTACAATAAATTTTTGTTAAAATTAATTCAATAACAAATTACCGTGTTCTTAAAACAACTTTAACAAAGGTTTACTGTAAAATTAAACAGCTATAAAATTAAATTTACCTGATACTACTAAAATGATTGAAATTAGTTGAAAGCACCGTGAAGTTATAGTTTTATTTAAAATATTCATAGAAAGCATGATTAAATCAAAAAATGGACTATTCTCATCAAATTTAATTTATTCAAATTTCAAAAATTAAAGTTATATCAAAGGCTTTCTAAATAACAACGCAGAATAAGGTTTAGTAAGACTTGTATTTTACATTATAGCACAACAAAGTTTAGAATACAGGCTTCATGATACAAGCCGTTAAAGGAACAGTTCTTAGAAAAGGTATTGTTTCTAACAATATCTTGTATCCAGGATGTTCCTTTTTCATAACAAAGTGGAAAAAAGGAAAGGCAAAGTCTTGATACGTATTATACTTTACGATTCTCTTTTTTCGTACTATTCACGGCATTTTTTATGGATGATAAATCAAAATTGACACATTTACAGTGAAACTTCAATATAACTAACTGCTCGGTCGTGTAACAAAACTCCAGGCAACAAAAAACAAAATAATTTTTTTATATTGTCTTTTTGATATTTAAAAATAAAAATTGAAGAAAAGGCCTCAAGAGTTGGTCAAAAAACGTTTTTTAGCAACTATTATTAGTTAATTTTTACTATCTTTTTATATCAAAAGTTGACCAAAACTCAAATTGAAAGTTTTTCAAAACCACATTTTTTCGGTTTGGTTTTTTGACTCGTATTTTACAAATTATCACTTTATCTCATTTTTATTACACTTTGTGAATAGGTAAGTGTTTGATTGTGTTCTACGAACATATACAGTAAAACTCTTGTTTAACGAATTTATCTGGGATTTTAAATCTGTTAACTATGAAGAAGTTTTGGTATGGAAGAGTTTTAAATGCACTATGTAGTGCTGGCCGTGGGTTAGTAAATTGCTCGTTATACGGAATTTTTGTTATAAAGAAACTCTTTACACAAGAGTCTTACTGTAATTTTAGTTCACTTTTAAAGCCCTTTCGTCCTACTGTGATAAACAATAAATGAAGAAAACAGTTTTCTTATATAAGCCTGCAACACAACAAACATCAACCATAGTATTGTCTAAACAGTGAATTTAAAATTAATTTTTATTCAAACGTGCCGTGCTCAAAAATTACACAAAGAATTGAAAAGAAAAAACGAAAATTGAACCGTCAAAATTAATTGTTAAAAGTTTTAAAATAGAAAAAGTTGAGAAACTTGTCAATAAAGAGTGTCATTCAGCTTTCTTTTCCAAAGTTTTTAAAATTTCAACAAAAGAATTGATGATTTAAAATGTCTTGGTTACAACACTGTTTGTTCTTCTTTTCACTGCAAAAAGCTAAAGTTTAGTTAACGTTCGGTATAAGAAACACACAAAAGGGCACTGGGTCTTAACCTTAATTTTTGGGACAGATTAATTACGACTTTCGTCTACAGACAAAAGCCAACTCTAACTCCTCACGGAAATAAGTGTCTCTTCTGAACCTAACTCTGGAAATTATTTAAATCGCTGACCCTCGACGCCATCCTAAGCTGCAGCACGGTTCTCCGGCCACTCTAACACCCACAACCTCCAATGACGGCACAGACGCTGATGTTATCCGATGATGCGGCGCAAACACTGATGTTAAGGAGAGAAAACTTACAATCGTAATTATTCAAGGTTTTATCGACCGTAAAGTCGGCTGAAGACGAGATTGTGCATCTCAACGACAGCGTAGTTGCCAGATATCAAGAACTCAACTTCGTCGGCTCTAACCCTGTTCTCGCTCAGTGCCTTCACGAGTCCTCCATCATATACATATGTAGAGAACAGTAGAAAGCCTCTTCACTGATTTGCTCGACTAAACCTACAACTTCATCTAGACCGCAATAAGCTAGTTGGTGAATCCGAATCTACAGGAGCTTGCACTGATTATCCATTCATCCACTTATTATGACAGATTTTTCAAAAAACTTTGTGACGATGTAAAACATCAAATTAAAACCACGTTTTGACAAAGTAAATCCAATTTTTCATTTTCTATAATTAGTACGCACAAATTTAAAAATATATACATATTGCTAGACACATATGTCATCGTGATTAATCATAACTAACATTCAAACTCTTCTCCTTTATACAACTTTCCACTTCCTACTGACTAGAGGAAGATACCCATACAACTGAGTGAATTCGTCGACGCATTTCTCTCGGTTACTGTAATGTGACTTTCCTCTTTGATGTAGACCGTGATTGGCATACTTCCCATGGGTATTTTGAATGCCGGTTACTTTTATTGTGGCAGCGTCCAGATACAAATGGCAGACCAAAAAGTTGATAGCAATATCTTCACAATTCGTAATTTGGTCCACTTTAATTCGTATTTTAGGGCTCATCAGGATAGTGTAGGCTAGATGGATGTCCTGGAAAGAGTCAGATATAATATGCTTTGAAATAAAGTATTTTTTAAAATTTCAAAAATTATCCAATACCAGAAACACTTCTTATGTTACATTATCTTAACATTTTAATCAAAAAAATTGATAGAAAAGGTACAATTACAGTAATCACATACTCAATAATAACTTGTATCTACTTTATGACCTCTCTAACCATTCCTCCTTACTTTTTGAACCAAATTACTTTTTTTAATTCAAATTTCAAAAATACATTTTTCTTACTTTGTGAATAAAGGTACCACTAGTAAGTATAATGTTGTACACTCCATTCTCTGGCATAGCGTAAACAGCTTTTGTAGAATTCAAAGAAGCTGAAGCATATCGAGCATTCGGACCTACAATTGCACGACGATTCGATTTCCATACACTGAAATTAACAATCTTAAAATTATATATATATTTTTTTTTAAAATTTCTGGCTTCTTTTCCAAAGCAATTCTTACTCAAACATCAGCTCAATAACATGATGATCAACATTAAAGTCGTCGTCCATATTCAACACGGCATCAGTCTCTATCTCCACAAATGGCAGAAAGCGGTTGTTCAGCGAATTTTTCGTCATTTTTAAAACTACTATTGACACGTGCAATACCTAAAATGCCAAAATATTTGCTTTAAGAGAGGGAACAGAATTAATTGAACAAATTATTAAACCAAAAAAAATTTTTTTGCCTTCCACTGCCCATACCAATATCGCCCAATGGCCACTGAGCATAACATACCAAAGTTTATCAAAGTTGTTCAATTAATTCTGAGCTCCTGCCAAAGCAAACTTTCAAAACTAACAAGAGGCACAGCATAATTTGAACAACCTAATGAACCAAAAAAAATTTTGTTTCTTCCACTACCCAGACCAATATCGCTCGCCGGCCACTGAGCATAACATACCAAGGTGTACAATATATATAGACATATAACATAAAACTCGACTTACAGGTATTAAATCGGGATCGACCTCTCGTTCGACGTCATTCCACACTACTAATACTTTATGAAGATTGGCAAGCTTTGCAAATGTTGACAATGTGTAGGTAAGTTGTTTGTCTCGTTGGTAGAACAATATCACAACTGAAATTGCATTTTTACCATAAATGGATCAAAAATCAAGGAAAGTATCCACTTTTTCACTAAATATGTGTATCTTACTTGTATAATTTTCGGAATTGCGATCATAAGTTATGTTGTACGTGTTATAGGTACGGTTGAAATATGTTGGCGTATATAGCTTTGATGTACTCTGAAATACAAAAAGTTAATTCTACCTGGCCCAGTATCATTTAAACCAAAAGCTTACTAAACCAGTACCAATAATAACATAATAATACAAATAAATTATAACTATATGTCACTATGTTACCTGCTCCTTACCGAATAATCAAACCTTTCAACAGCTTCTTGAACCATTTCTTTCGTAATGCCATTTTTAAAATAACGAGAAACAATTTCCTTGACATTGTAGCTTGCAAACATAACATTGTTACCACTGTAAGCAGTATAAGTCAACAGAATCAATAACACATTCAAAAACAATGACAGAACTAGTACAATATTATGATTAGTCGTCGTTTGATGAGAATATCCTTCATTGTTCATTTAAACACCGAAAACAAATTAGAAATTGAGATAAATAACGATTTCATCCAAATTTGAGTACAATAACGTCTAATTTTAACAGAATTTTAACTATTTTGTACAACTGTAAGTTTTAGTAAGCCATATTTTGCTGTACATACACAACAAGCCACGGTAAAGCCTTAAGAAATGAAAAAAAAACCAAAAGAAAGTTTTTATAAATGTAAATAATATAATAAATAACAAAATAAATACGAATTCGGCCAAAAAGTCACAATTTTGTTATTATTCTTCGAAGAAAAGCATTCAAATTTTAGTTTCTATGACATTTTGATGTTTTACAAGCGTTTGTTTGCAAATTGAATAGAAAATGACACCCACAAAACAGCATTTTCAACAAAAAAACTGTAAAGGTATTTTAAAATATATATCCTCCAAAATAAACCATAGTGCAAAGATCTTTCTGCTAATTTTTTTTATTTAATAAGCTCTTGAACAACATATTTAGATTTAAATATTTGAGCCATGAACGCTATGACTATTAGCAACATAATCCCAAAAGCTCAATCACACTGCAGTTCATTAAAAAATCGACTAACCTTCGCAAGAGACTTCAAAGTCAACAGAATAAGGATCAAACAAGATATACCTAGATTTCACGCCTTGCAAGCCCATTATTATTTAAAATTACTCTCTCAACCAAGAAAAGTTGTTTACAAGCTCAATAAATAGTCTCTTCAATAGTTACCAAAATATCAGCCGCCCTGCCGATGAAAATTCAAAAAATCTTCAAACTTATATTATATTACCCATGCCTTTGATGTCAAAAATCATCAAAACTCATCAAAACTAAACCTAAAAACAGAAATACTAACAATAAAAACAAACGCACAGGATATTGCCAATTCTCCATGTAGAACGTTATTTTACAGGGCTATTCGTCTGCATCAGCTTTTCGTGGTTCTGATAATAGATAATACCTTCTCCATAGCCAAATAATTATTGTTTCTCATGTTACCTTAAACATTTTATTCTCTAAAACAATGACAACATTACTTTAAATCAAGTAAAACCTTTTAAGAATTACTAACACGACATCTAACACCAATAATGTTGTTTTAGATAGTATAATCGTCTAAAACAAAGACAAGCCCTAACTCAACAAAAATAGTAATGAGTTATTTGTGAAAAATATAAAATAAACGTATAAAGGTATTTATAGTCATTTTTTAATTAAATTCAAACAGAATACCATCAAGAATTCAGAAGAAAAGCTTCGCAATTCGGCCGAACAACTCCAGGAAACAAAAACAAGATCAGAAGAACAATAGCCGCGCCCGATCAAGTGCAGGCTGCACACTTTCGTATTTTATAATTTTATTTTTTTAGGTATTTCTGACAGTTTTTTATGCTTCAGATTGTGTTTTGATAGAGTATAGCTTGTGTTTGCTTATATCAAAAGTTTATCTTGTAAATTTCATTTTTTTTGTTTCAAACTTTGAAATTTCGAACGTTTCGCACAAAACGTGGCCCTTTATTTATACGAGAGATTGTTTTAGTGATTGCGGTATATTACGATGAAGTGAAATAAACACAAAATGAGTCGAATCGAAACGAAAAACTTGCGAAGTGAAAAACAATGTCCAAGTTGATTGTCTATGTCCTCCTATTTTATGTTTTGGCAATATTGAGGATCACGTTTGGTGCTAGTCTGGCCAAGGAAAACAAGGAGAATGATGGTAAGGGGTTTTGTAAAATACGGTAGTCCTTGTTAAGAACTATAATTTTAATAAAATGTTGAATTTTGAAATTTAAAATTTCGAAAAACTATGTTACAGTAGACCAAGAGCTGTCAAATCTAATAGAAGATCCGGACAAAAAGAATGACAATACTTCTAACGGGCAATCGTTTTTGAAAAAGCCGGTTTCTGAAATGACAGATGAAGAACTAATGTTGTGGAATCTTCTGAATCCCAGTCAATATGTTCTGATGGATCAACGTGATCTGATCATAAGGAAACCATCAGATCCCAAGGTTAAGGTAAGTAGTGGTACAGTAAGAAAAAAAATATGTTACGGTACGGTACGACATGATAAAGCAGGGTTACAGCGCGGGAGGGGATTGAGTATGGAAGCATGGTTAGGGTACTATAGAGCAGGGTAGAATAGTTTAAGGTAGAACAATATAGGTTAGAGTAGGACATAGTAGGGAAGGGTAGGGCAAGGTAGGGTAGGGCAGGGTAAGGTTTTAATAACTATATCACTTCAGGACTACGCAGCTAAAGCCATAGCCAAGTTCAATTCCTGGTCACCGGGAGGTGAAGTCCGGCTAGTCCGTGTAATCAACGCTACAGGCGAAAAGACTGGTCAAGTACGAGAACGATTGGAACTCGAAGTGCAGAACATTAAGACCAAGAAAATTGATTGTGTATTTGTGATAATATTCTCGGTTACTGGCAAATACTTTGACTTTTACTTTGAAATGTGTAAATATCCGTGGGAGAATGCCAAGTTTAATATTAATTGAATAAAATTTTTTTGAGTGTCTTACCGTAAGTATAAAATTTACTTAAAAACGACAATATATAATATGTATAGTCGTATCTTAAAGTGAAAAAAAGGCAGTCAAAAACGAGAAAACTTTTTTTAAGCCTAGAAAATTGAAGAAGATGCCCCGCCTGACCCGCTCTGATTGACTTCAAAATTTTTATTTAGAAAGATCATGTTAATATAAGGTCTTCAGCAAAGTACTAAAATACCCTTTTCAGTCAAACTCAAGAAAATCGAGATCAAAAAATTACGTTTTGAATTTCCCGCCAAATTGGCATTGTGTTTCAAGTTTTTAACTTTGTCATTTTTCGACTTGTAACCATTTTTCTTTGATAAACAAGTAGAAAACCTTTGAATGGACCTACTTTTTTGAATTTGTAAGCGTAGATTGTCTTGAAAGCCAAAAAAGAGCTTGAAACAGAATGCCAAATTTGTTAAATTTTCGGGAAACTTAAATATTTGTTTTAAAATTCAAAAAAAGAAAGCTAAAATATTGTTATGTGTACTATTGGTAGTAAAAATAATTTATGTAAAACGTTTGAGCTAATTGTGAGTGGGGTAGATTGGGATTTTGAATTAATTTTTATAAAAGAAAATTTAAAACAAAGTTTTTCTATTTTAAAACAGTAAAAACTGTATTTTTCTTATATTTTACATCATTATGGCCATAAATAAACTGGAAATTCTTTGCGGAACCATTCCCGATCCTCCAAGGAACCATCCGTCATCCTTACATACAACACACCATCTTTCTACACATCCAAAAAAATATTTTTTCACACTTTCTCCGATTTCGTGTTATAAACATTAACTCGGTCATTTATGGGATATTTGAAAAATTATTTTTAAATGTATTAGGAGTTGTTCCTTATTAGTTTTGAAGAAATCTTATTGTCTTTTCAGTGACATTAATAGATTGTTCGGTATAGGGATGTCGCTACAGATTTTTTGCGTGTTGCGAGGAAATGTGGTTGGAGGGGGGGGGGCGATTTTTTCAAATTTAAAATAAATTCTTTAGCCATAGAAATAGCCATAACCTATGCTGTCGTATTTTACAAGTTATTAATACAACGTGCGCCAAAAGTTCTGTTACAAAACTTTTGTCGTTTTCTCTAAGTAATGTCGATAAAAAACTCTAAAAATTGCTTTTTGCAATTTTAAATAGTTTTTTTTATATCTTGTTATATTTACATTGTACCTAATACCAATTATTATCTTTTTAAAACGATCCCTATTGTACTCTAATTTCACTCATAAAATTTCAAAATTTCAAATTTAAAATTAGCTCTAAAACAATATTTAGAAAAGGCATTTTGAAACAGACATTTGACTCATTTGAATAAGAGATTGTGTTGTTAAGCGAGTACAATTGTAAATGTATGTGTAATGAGGCAGTTCTGTTGTTGTACAAGGTGCAGAAAGACTCATTAGCTCGAGGCAGTGGTGGTTTTTTGGCTTTTGTTTTGGTTTGTAGTTTGGTGTTTCAAAAATTTTGAATTTTTTTGAATTTTGAACTTGAAAATAATAGAAGATCTGTATTTTAGGTCTGTTATGTTACATTAGAGACATGTGATACTTAACAAGTTTTCGTTGCAGTAAATTAGCTAGCTTTTGAGAAAGTAAGGTCGAGTAAAAGAGGGCAGGGTGTGCCAAAAGTTAGCATATTTAAATAGGTAGAATATACTAAACCTAGGTTAGGACTGGCGCTAAGGCTAGATATAAATCTACAAGCTACGGGATTTGGGCTAGGGCTCTCGGGATAAAGCTTTAGGGTTAGGGCTCTGGGGCTAAGACACTGAGCTTCTGCTCTGGGCTAGGGCTCTGGGCTAGGACACTGAGCAAGGCTCTGAGATAGAGCTCTCGGGCTAGGGCTCTGGACTAGGGCTCTGGGCTAAAATTCTGGGTTAGGACCCTGGGCTAGGGCTCTGGGCCAGGGCTTTGAGTTAGGGCTCTGGGCTAGGGTTCAGGACTAGGGCTTTGGACTAGGGCTCTGGGCGAAGGCTCTGGGGTTAGGGTTCTGGGGCTAGGACACTGAGCAAGGCGTCGAGCTAGGTTTCTGGACTAGGGCTCTCGGCTGGGGCTCACAACTAGGCCTCTAGGCTCTGGGCTAGGGGACTTTTTGATTACCTTGCCTTAGATTGCTTTGACGTATTATTTGAACAGTTAAATTGTAATGTTCATATTACACTAGACCCAAGAGTTTCTGCGAACTTTTCAGACAGAAGCATGGTTGTTACAATCTCGTTTTGTCGTATTAAAATTACGGGTTCTCATGCAGAATAACTCCCCAGCAGGTGAATAATAATTCCCCATGGAAATGAGCTACAATCATTCCCCACTTATTCAAATTTTAAGATTTTTTTTTCAATTTCTCATTCTTTCATTTTGTTTGCTGAGTTATGGTCGGACCGCGAACTTACGAAGAAATCACTTATGAAATTGCCAAAAGTAAAAAAAAAACAACCGTTGTGTCCCACTCGGTATTACTATCATGCCCCACCTGTATTACTATCATGCCCCACCTGTATTACTATCATGCCCCACCTGTATTACTATCATGCCCCACCTGTATTACTATCATGCCCCACTTGTTTCACTATCATGCCCCACCTGTATTACTATCATGCCCCACTTGTTTCACTATCATGCCCCACCTGTATTACTATCATGCCCCACCTGTATTACTATCATGCCCCACCTGTATTACTATCATGCCCCACTTGTTTCACTATCATGCCCTACCTGTATTACTATCATGCCCCACCTGTATTACTATCATGCCCCACCTGTATTACTATCATGCCCCACTTGTTTTACTATCATGCCCCACTTGTTTTACTATCATGCCCCACCTGTATTACTATCATGCCCCACCTGTATTACTATCCTGCCCCACACTTAGAAAACCCTTATTCACTTTCCCATTGCACTTTGAAAGTGTATTCATTATTCAAAACTTGGTTTACACTTTCAAAGTTTATGCAAAAAATCCCTATAAAAGCAACCGGTTTCCCCAGAAATCGTCATTCAAGCCGAGTTCCGAGGTTGTCTGCCGGTTCTCTCTCCAGCCCCTAGTCGCGCGATGGTTCAACAGCTCCAACACTTGGATCGTTCCCAACCCTCACCTGAGCCAATACCTTCTGGACTAGTACAAGTTAAGTTCAACTTAACTTTGTGGGGAATGATTTTGCGCTTGGGGGAATGATTGTAGCTGGGGGAATGATTGTTCATCGGCCCCAAATTACGTTTTGCGAATTGCGTGAAAGTTTAATTAAATGTTTTCGAGTTTCAAATAACAACTTCAGCACGACAGTTTCACAAAATTGTTGGTAAACTGTTACTTTGGGTTTGAAACTGATATTACTTTGGAGTTAAAAGTGGTTATCATTGACTTTTAAATCATATTTTTTTCTTTTTGCTTTGAAATTTATTTTTTGTTATGTCATTTCACTATTTAACGTAATAACCATATTTTTAACAAGAAAGACTGCTAAAGACGTATTTTACAATTATATTTAATCTTCCACAACGATTCCAATGAAACAAAGATTATCACGGTTGTCAACAGATGCTGTTGAACTAGCCAAAAAGAGGTTACACACTGTGTTTTGCACAGTAAGTTTTTTTGTTATAGTTCTTATCCCTATCCCAGAGTACTAGTCCAGAGCCCTAGTCCTGAGTCCTAGTCCTGAGCCTTAGCCCAGAGCCCTAGCTCAGAGCCCTAAACATAGCATGCGGTTAGCTTTAGTCTTAGTTAGCCTTAGTCTTAGCCTTAGTTTTAGACTTAGCCCTAACCTAACTAACGCTAACCTCACAGCATCGTTATGTTTAATGTTGCTATATACTTATATTTTAACCAAAACCTAATTTCAGAAGCCAAAGATCGCGATAGAATCAGAACCCTCAACGAGCGAAGTATCATCTCTCTCTTCTGATATCGATAACACATCACCTTACTTTGTCAAAGACTACAGTAAGCCCTTACATCACACGAAACAGTGTAAACTGAACAAGGAACAACTCGTAATGGAGAAGGTGCCAAGTAAAATAACGACTGAATTCTGGGTGGTAACGTTTTATGGTCGATGTATATTCATACGGCTTGAGACATCGGTTTATGATCTGCATACGATGTTGGTGGGTACGTAGTAATTACTATGCTGGTTGGAATGTAGTGATTACTATGCTGCTGAAACCGTAGTAACTACTATAATATTCTTTTTTACTTTTAAATTGTTCAAATAATTCTGAGCCCCTTTTAAATTGTTCAGATCTTTCTGAGCCTTCTAAACCAGAACATTTGCTATGAAAGGGGGCTCAATGTTTTTTGAACAATCTACTACTATATGATGTTGTATATTGATTTTTGGGTAATTTACTGTACTTTGTTAAATTTAAAAATATTTTTCAATTTCGAAATTTTAAAAATATTTTATTAAAACTCAAAATTATTGCCAATTTAAATACATTTCGTAAATACCGAGGATTATGTCGTTGTTAATAATAAACAATATAAGCAATTTGTACAAGCAATGAACAATGGTAGTCTTATAGATAACAAAATGAGGTAACCGTTCCCAAAATTAGACAAGGAGTGCGTAGAGAGTACACATAGTTAAGGAGACATGTATATATGTGTAGATATAGCTATATATGAACATAAATGTAAATACAAGTACGTTTACTTTGGTTTATATACATATAAACGTACATATATACATTTATATGTGTATATAAGTCTATTACGTACATTTAAATCAAATATAAAAATCTAAAAAGTCTTGTCGTTTTTTCACATGTAAAGCCCTGATGAAAAACGACAAAACTTTTTTATGCCATTTTATATGTGGTTATGTATCCATATTAATATTTATATACATTGAAATATGTATAATCGTTTATATATACACATATATAGCCATATACACACTTATACACATATGTAAAAGCGGCCCAGAAGTTCAAAGCTTTTCTTATGGCTCAAAAAATGGAAAACCGGCTATAAACTTTTGGACCTAAAAAAAATGAAATTTACATTTTACATCATATATTACATTTTTACATATACCCTCCAACATACGATACTACGCCACCGGCGGACACAAATAATTCGGCGAGTTGTTATGTCTCTGCGTCGGCGGTACCAAATCAGTACCATTCGCCGCCAAGTCCTTCCCCGGAAGCGTACTAATCACCGTCGCCGTAGAGTTGTTGTTGTTACCATACTGTGAGGTCAACGATGTCACCCGCTCACGTTCTGCCGGCAAATCGAAAAAGGATTCGGATTCCGGAATCACGGTGAGCTGATCGTACTCGGACGGCGTTTCACAGTAATAATGTTGATGCGAAGCAGTGGATAACATCGAAGCAGATCGATTAATACCTCTCACACTCAGTGATGAGGCGTTCCGGTTCTCGTCCAACATACAACGGCCGGAGGAACGGCGAGAGGAATCGTATGGTGTTCCAGCGCCGAATGGAGTACCGTTGAAGCCTCGTAGCGTGGACTTGGATCTAAAATATGAGGAAAATTACTGATAAACGAGTGTAGAAATAACAAATCTTTAAGTTTCATAATATTGTGTTTATAAATATTGTCATGGATTTTTGTGATATAACGAAAAAAGCCAAAACTCGTCGAAAAATTTACAAAAATTAAAAAACTTTGATTTGGAAAGACCAAAACAAGACTAAAAGTATTAAATACAAAGTAAAAATAAATTTACATAATGTAAAGCACTATTTTGAGTAGTATAACCAATAATTTTCTGTTTTAAGCTTGGTTGATTTGGTCCCACAACGAAAATCATAAATGAAGATATCTTTTTTGGCATAGTGTTGCATGTTGTTTTAGGTTGCACAAAACGTCTTCTTAGTGAAATTATGCCTATTTTTAAGTTTTTAAAACATGTATAAGTCTATATATATTATTTCTAGCTGTTCCATCCTTTTTTACCTACTACAATATCCACCTACCTCGCATAAACACTGATCGGATTGACCGGCTGTCCCTTGACTCTCGCTGGCTTCCCCAACTCTCGACACTGTATGATGTGAAGACATATCCTTCGAATGTCCGGGTTGATTAGACAGTAAAAGTAGAAGTTTAGAGCGAATTTCGTGAATTCGAGAAGATTAACGACCGCGCGGATTATTTGAAAAGTGAGGTTTTTGAGTCGATAATCAGCGACAAAGATGGTCAGTGGTGCTGCTGGGATGGTGCATAGGAAGAAGACTATCACAATGGCAAAGAGGAGGACGAACAGGCGTCGTTCTTCCTGAAATTTGAAGTTTAATTTGAAAATTTCGAAATTTTGAAATTTCAAAAAATTTTTTTTCAAAAAGTTTTAAAATTTCGAAAAAAATTCAAAATACCCTCTCGCTCTTCTCAGTGATATTTCTAGTTTTGCACGAAGCCAGCCGCTTCATCCTGTCCTTCTTCGTACTCCTGTAGGTGATCAGTATCATGGTGTTGAAGTAGGCGATTAATAGAAATGGAAATACCCGGGTTAGAAACTCTCGAATCCATTCGTAGATTTGAAACCATGGCTCAATTTTGCGGTCACATATCACGTATCTGCATTGTAGCATGCCTATTGGCACCTGAAATGAAAAGGTTTGTAAAATACGGCTTGGCGAGTTTCTATACATATTATACTTGTTCGAATAATTTTGTGCCCCTTAATATTAAAAATTTGCATTGAGAGAGGGCACAGGGTTATGTAAACAACATAATAATAGGTTGTTCAAAAAGTAATGAGCCACTAAAATGCATATCAAAAAAAAATTTTGCAACTTATCTGAAATAACCTAATATGTGTGATCCATGGCTCATTATTTTTTGAACAACTTGGCAATTTTAATTTGTAGGTTACCGTAGAGAGAGGGGCGCGGTAAAGGCTTGGGTAAAAATTAAGGTTCATATAAATATGGTAGGGCCTACGGTAAAGGAAATGGTAGGGGTTAGGGTAAGGATACGCCAGGGGTATGTCGAACTAATAAAGAATAGGGCAGGCTATAATACTGTAGGGTAGAATAAGTTACTGTAATGTTGAGTAGGGATAGGGTAGCGCAGGGTAGAGCAGGGTGCAGTAGGGTAGGGTAGAGTAGGGCAGGGTAGTGTAGGATGAGGTAGGCTAGGATAAGGTAAAGCCGAATAGGATGAAAAATATTCAAAACCCTTACCTCATGCACACTTTTCTTAGTAGCCCAAGGCGCGTAAATGCAGAAACTGAAGATATATGCCAAAACAAATAATATAAATGACATTTTTCTTGTCCTCAAAAATCCCTGTCGAAATGGCTGACACACTGCCATATATTGGCTAAAGGTTAGGAATACCACAATCCATACTGAGGCTCCCATTAGGGCGTTGGCCTAAAATTTAAAAAAATTTATACTAGACTTTTATTACCTAAACATTTTTTAAACTTGAGTTTTGTTACCTAAATTAATTTTTTTGTAAAATACGGAGTTAAAAGGTTACGAAAAAAAATTTTTTTTTTTCAAAACTTACCAAAGGAAAGCCAATATGAGCGTAGTAAAAAGCAGATGACTTTGAACATAACCGAAAGTCCAAAATCCATAGTAACATCGGTATTACTGACACATGGGTGAACTGAAAATTGAAAGTAAATTATTCAATACTTTACAGTGACTCGACTTTCCCATACCTTTACTTTACGTTTTATTACCCTACCATACCTTACCTGTATCTACCATACCCTATCCTACAATGTCCTACCTTATCTTATATTGCTTTATCTTCTTCTACCATACCCTACCCTCTCAAAAACCAATGTTCTTACCAGATCAGTCATAGCCAGCAACGTTAGATATGTGTAGATGGTGGAGCTCCTCCTCAGTAAAGGATGTGTTAACGTAGCTACTGTTAATATATCTCCAATCACTCCAACTGCAATGATAACCGGAGCAATGTAGCCGTATGTAATACGATTCAACCGTGATACCGACATCTGGGCTTCGGCCGTGAGCACGGTGCGATTCCAGTCTTCGGCCGAATGTAATCGACCGTCCATCGACTGGAGATACGCACATATACCCGACATGGTAACGCTATAGTAGATAAGTTACGGCTGATTCACGATGAGATTGGATACGGTAAGTTTAGTTACAGTAGCTTGAAGGTACAATGAGTTGTGTTATGGTAGGAATACGGTAGGTAAAGTAAATACTATGTAAAGCTTGTAATAAAAGTAAAAATACTTGGAATGTTCATAGAATGGTGTATGTTATGGTAGGCCAAAATTACAGTAATTTGTAGCTACCGTAATTTTCAAGAAATTACAGTAACCTTGAAATACCGTAGTACACCTACAGTACTTTCAAAACTTGTCCAATCGTATGACAAAGACAGAAACGTTGTCCGATGTGCGCCGACTCACGGCCAATCGTACCAAATGTTCGGCGACGTTAAAGTCTCCAAAACATGAAGATGGTCGACGAGCGGCTACTGGAACTTCAAGCGTGTTCTGAGGTTGAACGTCTTGTAGATCCGACAGTAAGGTTACCACTGAAAAATAAAGTTGAAAATTTAGGCTTAAAGTTAGATCTTTAGGGTTAAGTATAATATAAAAAGTTCAAAGTAAAGTAGAGAAAGGCTCAACCTCAGGCTGAGGCTCATGGTCAAACTCAGACTCATGCTCAAACGCAAGTTCAAACTCATGCTCAGGCTCAAGCTCGAACTAAGGCTCAGGCACATGCTTAAGCTCAGGATGAAGCTTTGACTCGAAATTAGACTCATGCTCAAGCCAAGGCTCGGGCTCAAGTTCAAACTCAAAGGGTTATTTAGGCCTAACAGAGAGGTAAAAGTGTTTTTTTAAGTTCAAAACCAATTTCCAAAAAGATTAGACTGACATCCTCAACCTTGTTTATAAAAAAAGTTTTTAATGACCCCTCATACCCCTCTCTTATGATCACCTTTTTCGTATACAATATAATATTTTGCAAAACTGCCAAAATCTAACATAATATGTGACATTTTTGCAAAACCCTACAAAAAGCCAGAAAAACGAATCCCTAAAGCTGTCAAATTCGTAGAAAACTAGGCTTACCTGAAGCTTTCCTAGCCTTGTTATTGACCTGGATATTCACAATGACCTTGTCTTTGCCAATATTTACTGTGTCCGTGCTGGTATCACTGTCGTCTTCTACTTTTGCAATGTCTTTCTCTTTTGAGTTAGCTGTAACTTTGTCTTTTGCTGTTACAGTATCTTTTGTCGATGTTACACTAGGATTTTCCTCAGTTTCTTCCTCAGAATCCTCGGCTTCTAAAAGTTCGTCAGAATCACTGATGTTTGACCAGTCTTCAGTATCACTTTCTGATTCTGTTCTTGATTGTACGGTAGTAGGTACTGTAGATCCAAATGGTACTCTAGAACCAGTTGATACTGTAGAATTAGAAGTCTTAGTAGTATCAGAAACTCCTTTGGTATTAGAAGCTACAGTATTCTCTACCGTAGAGCCCAATGGTACAGTAGTTTCAACCGTAGAGCCCGATGACACCACACTATCACCTCCTACTGTAGCAGCAGCGCCTACAGTACTATCACAAAACAAACTGTTGGGCTCCTGCTCCTTCTGCTGCTTCGCCAACTGATAGTTAACCTCGTTGACGGCGTCGATATTGGAGCACACGTCCCAGAAGCCGTCCGTCGCCAGAATCACGTAGCGCAACGGTCGCGCGGCCAAGTCGATCGTTCGAATGTCCGGTTGGGCCGTGATGTAGCCGCCGCGTTTCAGGGCTGAGTCGCCGAACGCTCTGAAAATAATTAAAGGTAAAATACGATATTTATAGATTTATTAAAACAATTTAAAAATAAAAATTTATTAATTAAAAACATTATTAATTGGGCAGGGTAAAAGAAAAATATTATAATAAAAAACTTTTAAAAAATAAGGAAGACAAAAAAGCCATAGTAAGAGGTAAAGAGAAAAGTAGGGAGAATTAGAAAATAAAAATAAAAAATAAAATTTTTTAAACAAAATTTTTATAAAAAAATAAAAATTATCAAGGAAAATACCCAACGTCCCCGCTCAGAATCAGCTCAAAATCTTTATATAAATACAAATTCTTTGTACCACCAATAGTACCCATAAAAAATTTTAGCCCGCCCTTTTCAATTTTAAAAATCAAAATATTTTAAGTTTCCCGCCAATTTGACAAATTTGGCATTGTGTTTCAAAACACTTTTTGACTTTACAGACAAGATACACTTAAAAATTTAAAACTTTAGGTTCATTTAAAGAGTTTCTACTAAAACATATCAAAGAAGCATAATTAAAACGTCTACTTTTCCTCACCTTATTTTGCCCTATCCTAACCTTTTTTAAAAAAGACCAGGAATGTGGGAAAGGCATGGTAAAAGACGAAGAAAAAAAGGAGGAATTGGGAAAGAGTAAAAAAAAAAGAAAAAGAATAAAATTTCTTTTTAAAAAATTTATAAAGTAATAAAAATTAAGATAATTTAGCCATCAAACACCAAAAAATGCCAACTTATAGCTAGCTGCCAAAAAAGAAACGTCATTTCGAAAAAAACGTTAAGATTTCTTAATTAATCGGCTTACGCTTGGAACTAAAATTTCATTAGTACCTACAACAGAAATATTTTAAAAATGTTTAAAAGTCCCGACAGGTAAAAAAATTAAACTACTTTTCATCTCCCTCCCACTTCTCCCAAGACCAAAAAGTTGCCTAGTCACTACCAAACACCACTTCAAATATCATCTCTACAACAATATATCATTGTATTCTAATATTTTGCAAAAATCTTGCCATTCTCTTTTGTACCTACACAAAATAAAATTCAATTCCAAGCGGCCGAAGAATGAGAAAATAGAAACGAAAAGATAGGAAAAATAATTGAAGCAACGAGTCCTTTTTATGAAAGTAAAATCGGATTAAGATCCCCGATTACTCCACTGCTAATTTGGATGAATATCTGTGAAAAATAAGGACTTGTAAGCCATGTGTAACATTATATAGTGGGGTATTGCAGTGGGTCTTTAAAAGTCCGTCAATTAGATAAGTGGGCAGATTATAAGGTTATAGGTAGAATTAAGCCTAAATCATTTTTTTCGAAAAATTAAGTGCCAGTTATGGTGCAGAGAAGACAAGACTAAAGCAGAATTAAAGATAGGTTAAGACTCATTGAAAGTTCATAATAATAAAGTCTAAAGTCTATGGCAAAGTTAAGGCTAAATGCAAAGGTAAGATTAGGTAGACTAAAGTTAGGCCTAGGGGTAAAACTAAGGCCCAAAAATCAAGCTCAGGCTAAAGGTAAGGCCATGGGCTTTGACTATAGCTAAAGCAAGTTTAAGACTAACGCTAAGGCTAAGGATCAAGCTTAAACTCAAGCTAAGGCTATGGCTGTGGCTAAAGCTCAGACACAGGTCCAGGTCCTAACTCAAGCTCAAGTTCAATCTCAGGGAAAGCTAAAGCTATAACTAAAGACAAAGTTAAGGCTAAGTTTATTAGCTGTAAGATGAACAACAAAAATCTATTTTTATACCCAAAAACTTTATATTTCAATTCTATAAACTCAAAGATGTTCGTATGTTTTTACCTTTTTTCCCATTTTTACCCCAAAACCGCCCACAGAAGTCAACGTTTTCGATTTTCACGCTTCTGCATGACCTGAGTAACCTATGAATTATGGTTTACCTACGTTTTCAGTACTAAATACTCGGTAATTCTCTCATATGTCAACAAAAAATTGGCTGAACTTTGAGGATTCAAATAGGTAAGGTAACTTTTAATGGGTAAAGTAAATTCTGATAAGTATAGTAAACGCAAATATGTAAGGTAAATTCAAATAAGTAAAAGAAGTCCGAATAGGTAAAATTAGGGATGGCCGTTTATTAAAGGGTAGAGAAAAAGAGGACCCATTCACAAAAAAAAATTTTTTTTGCAAAAACCTTGTTTTGTGTTATCAGTAGCAAAAATATATGAAAAATAACGCAAACAAGCCCAAGCTTATGGTTTGTCAATAAGTTCGATCCCCTGAACCCGCACCGTGAATAAATTCGTAGCAAAAAAAGTTGAAATCGAGACGAAGGATTCGTTATGAGAGCCCAATCTTGTTAGAATAATATTTCCTGCCATCCTGATTCAATTTCGGTGCCCAAAGTTACTCGCAAAATGGCATTGTCTTACAGGATTTAAACAAGATTGTCATAAATTAATTTTTTAAAAAAATTTTAAAAAAATTTAAATTTCAAAAATTTTTAAAAAATCGCTTAAATTTAAAAAAATTATTTAAAAAACTTTAAATTTCAAAAAAAATGTAAATAAGCCTCCTAAAACAAAAAAACGTCCTCTTTTAATCATCCCCAAAAAATTTACCTGCCCAACATTTTTTCAAATCAAGCCCCTTATTAATTTATCCCCCCCCCTTACTCGTAGGTCAGCGTAAGGTAGAATTATCCTTGCCCTGCCCTACCTACCTTATCCTACCCTACCCTGCCCTACCTACCTTATCCTACCCTACCCTACCCTACCCTACCCTACCCTGCCCTGCCCTGCCCTACCTACCTTATCCTACCCTACCCTGCCCTACCTACCTTATCCTACCCTACCCTGCCCTACCTACCTTATCCTACACTACCCTACCCTACCCTACCCTACCCTGCCCTGCCCTACCTACCTTATCCTACCCTACCCTACCCTACCCTACCCTACCCTGCCCTACCTACCTTATCCTACCCTACCCTGCCCTACCTACCTTATCCTACACTACCCTACCCTACCCTACCCTACCCTGCCCTACCTACCTTATCCTACCCTACCCTACCCTACCCTACCCTACCCTGCCCTACCTACCTTATCCTACCCTACCCTACCCTACCCTGCCCTACCTACCTTATCCTACCCTACCCTACCCTACCCTGCCCTACCTACCTTATCCTACCCTACCCTGCCCTACCTACCTTATCCTACACTACCCTACCCTACCCTACGCTACCCTACCCTACCCTACCCTACCCTACCCTACCCTACCCTACCCTACCCTACCCTACCCTACCCTACCCTACCCTACCCTACCCTACTCTACCCTACCCTACCCTACCCTATCTTACCCTACCCTACCCTACCCTGCCCTACCTACCTTATCCTACCCTACCCTGCCCTACCTACCTTATCCTACCCTACCCTGCCCTACCTACTTTATCCTACCCTACCCTACCCTACCCTACCCTACCCTACCCTACCCTACCCTACCCTACCCTACCCTACCCTACCCTATCCTACCCTACCCTACCCTACTCTACCCTACCCTACCCTACCCTACCCTACCCTGCCCTACCCTACCCTACCCTACTCTACCTTACAGTTCACTAATCTACCCTTCTCTCTTCTTAATGTACCCTATCCTACCCTTCCCTTCTTTACCCTACCTTATCGTACCCTACCCTTTTTCAGAAGCCTCTAATCAGAATGATATCACATTAAAATTAACTTCCCCCTCAGCCAAAGCTAATAATAGCTTATTGTAATACCTAGATTGAATTAATATTTTTGGCAGAAAATCTTTGGAAGCCTGAGGGCTTCGTATACGAATTCAAAGTAGAGCCGCATATTTTAACATTTTGGCATAAAGAATTTCCGGCCTATTCTTCTGAACCATGTTTTATTCAAGATGGTGTGGTTTTTAAACATTAATGCATTACTGTAAACAAAGTTTCCTACTTTTATTTACTCAAAGGTTCGCGAATTTGAATTGGCAAAATAAAGTTGGAGAACTACGCTAGATTAGGCTAACGCCAGTCTTAGAGATGGCTATGACCCTGACTTTTGTCTTAGGGTCAGCCTGAGTTTTGGCTTGATCCTTGTTCTTTGTCTTAGCCTTAGCCTTAGCCTTAGCCTTACCCTTACCCTTACCCTTACCCTTACCATTACCCTTAGCCTTAGCTTTAGCCTTAGCCCTATCCCTAGCCCTAGCCCTAGCCCTAGCCCTAGCCCTAGCCCTAGCCCTAGCCCTAGCCCTAGCCCTAGCCCTAGCCCTAGCCCTAGCCCTAGCCCTAGCCCTAGCCCTAGCCCTAGCCCTAGCCCTAGCCCTAGCCCTAGCTCTAGCCCTAGCCCTAGCCCTAGCCCTAGCGCTAGCCCTAGCTCTAACCCTAATCTTGCCACTCCCCCTAACGTCCGATCTTCTCTCTACCTTTCAGAACTTGGCACAAGCTTTACCTTTCCACCCCTTGCTCTACATATCTTTTTATAATAACCTAGCTCTAGTCCTAGCTTTATCCTTAGTCCTAGCCTTTGCTTTAGGCAACGAAATTTACCCCTGCTTTTACACTATTCATGCTCTTTCTCCACCTACCCTTCAGAGCTTAGGATAAGACTTACTTTCGTTCTTCGCTAGCTTCAGCTGTTTCTATTATAACATGACCTTACCCTATCCTACTTTAAATGGCTTATGATTTTCTTTGCCTTACTCATCCTACCATACCTTATAATTTTATTATATATTATCACGTAGACATAGTAAAGACAATACCCCTGTAACTACATTATCAAAAATAATAATTTCAATTAAAATGCCAAACCTTAACCATATTTTGATAAAATTTCAAAAAATTTGAAAAAAAACTTGAAAAGACATAACCTATGTATCTTCAGACGTGCCTATCTCCCACTGCCACAAAGTCCGTATCGAGTGCTGACGGTAATCGAAAAGAGGCACGCAACCAATCCTTTCTACTGCCATATATCTCTATCTCAAGTAGTAAAAGTTAAAAATTTTGAAATTTAAAACTTTTTTGTAAAATACGAAACCTGTATTTACCTTTTTTTATTTTTCAAAAATTCACTCGTAAAGTCATAATGTAACATAAAATCAATATAATACAAAATGAAATTTTTAACGATAAATGACAGTACAGTGATGGGCGTTTAAATAGCTATTGATTCCTTAGTTGTCTTAATGATCTAGGAAAAAAAGAGTTGGCCTTAACACACGTCCTGGAGTAAGGAACGTGGTATTGGGCCCCTCTTCTAGACCTTTTAAAAAAAATTGTAAAATAGAATGGCAGAAATTGATGGACTAAAAAGATAAGGAAGTCAAAGGAAGCACAAGTGTCATCGTGCTAATGTCTGAA